AAATTACTCTGTTTCACAATGGGCTAAAATATAAGAAGCTGCACTCTCTCCTAAAGTATCATAAAGAGGGACAACAATCATTGAATGTCGAATTAAAGCTAACGTCTTTAATTAAAAAATATTTTTAATTTTGAAGAAAAAATTTTTTCAAACCAAAATAGTCCATTCTGGAGAATTTTGAGCATAAATAGCAACAAAAGTTTGTTGACCAGGCTTAAGCCCCAATAGGCTTATTAATTTTGTGCCGACAACCTTTGAGAGATTAGCAACTTGTTGATAACTAATAAATTTGTAGGGGCCTTCTTTTGTTCGAATACCGAGACAGGGCCCTTCTGGGGCAAGCTAGAGAGAGAATTTTTATTTTTTAATTAAATTTTATTTTTATACTTTCAATCCACGCTGAAAAGCTTGCCATAGAGTTGTAACTTCCGGAAAAAAATATTCCAAAACTTCTTCAGGTTTATCCTTCAAGAGGCCACTTTTAAACGTTCCGGGGGAATTCTAATGTTTTTAAATTTTCAAAAAAAATTTTTTTAAGAAAAATACCGGCAATTCTATAGCTTGGTGTTGCCTATCCATATTTTAATTGAAATTTAAATTAAAAAAATATTTTTTTCCTTTTTATTATTAAAAAATCTTTAATTAATTTTAATTGTCACGCGTTTCCTTTAAGAGATTATTTTAGAAAGAAAATTAAATAAAAAGTAAAGTAATCAACAAATATTAATAAAAAACCCTCTTTCACCATGTGGTATAATCGAAGAATGTGTTTACTGATAAGAATTTAAACTACAAAATGGAGACCGGACTTGATAGGAAATTGAGTTTCTTGGGGAAATTTAGGGATCTCCGGAACTGAACCAAAGAACTGAATCGAAAAATTGTAAAGCATATGGCTATTTAATTCCTAAGGCTACGTGGTAGTAGGCGGCGTGGTGTAATCATCAGTCCGGTCTACTGAAGATGCTGGTTCGCTCCCAGCCACCGAAAAATAGCTATAGCCCAGCTGCTTTACTAAATCATCGGCTCTTTGGTTCCGTACAGACAACAGTGGGTTTAAAATTAGAAGACTACTAAATAAAGAACTCATCGTCTAGATAAGTCAAAAAACGGAAACAGTATCGAAAAGTAGGGTTTAAGGTTCATTATACTTTTTAATATTTTTAATTCAAAATATTTTTTAAATAAATTTAAATATTTCCATTTTTGTTACAAATTTAAAAATAGAAAATTAATTATTAAACTAAAGAAATAATGGACTTTGTGCGGTAAGTTGAAGTAATATAATGGTTGTCGATTGTGTTTGTGTGTGTAATATGCTTTGGGACAGAAAAATCGGGGAAATAAAAAATTATAAATATAAAAATTGCTTTAATTTTCTTATCAGATGGGGGTATATTTTTAATTATATTTAGAGGAGAATTATTTTAAAATTAGATAAAAGTGCTTAGAACACTTGGGGATAAATATTAAACTTAAAATCAGTCCAAAAAAGTCAATTTTAATTCTTATTCTGTAAAAAAAGGAAGATCCATGTACGGAAAAAATCTTGTAAGGAAAGAAAGATCCAGCTGGCTAGAGCCTCTCAACTCTTCTTAGGGCACCTAGCAGGGCACCTAGAATGCTTAACGGAATCAGAAGAGCTCAGGTCCTATTCCAACCAAATTTTCGGATATTTAACTATACAAATTAAATCATTATGTATTTTTATTTATTAAAAAAACTTGTTTTTAAAATTTCTTAAAAATTTTTTTTATTTAAATAAATAGGTAAATAAATAAATTAATTAAACCACCAAGGAAAAAAATAAAAACCAGACATTAAAGAAAGAAAACAAAGGGCAATTTACCCATCTTTATAATTAAAAAATATATTTTTTCCTTTCCCTTATCTGACGAAAATTATTTTTGACAATTAATGGAAGAAGGTATATTCCCCCAAATATCATTCCATAATCACGCCATCAGAAATAAAAAATAACAACAATGATGTTTATATTTGGAAATACTATGTAATTAAAACTAGTACTATGAACAACTTCAGAATTAAATTTAAACAAAACATTTTAAAACATTAAAACCAGAATAACAATACAACATTTAAAACATTTAAAATGAGAAATTAAAAACACTAGTAAAAACAATTTCAGAATTAAATTTAAACAAAACCAGAGTAAAATTAGAACTTAATAAACATGTTGATATTTTAAATTAATTTCAGAATTAAATCTAAACAAAACATGTTAAAACATTAAAACCAGAATAATAAAACAACAAACAAACCAAACAAACAACAAATAAACATACAAAATAGATACGAACAAAACAAATCAGAAGAACAAACTTATTGTTTGTTTCTATTTTACAAAACATGTTTAAACAAAACACATTAAAACCAGAATAAAAGACAACAAACAAAACAATTACAAATCAGAACAGAATTAAAACAAAACATACTATTTATTTAGCACTTGTTTTTTTTAAATTCTGATTTTCCCTTAAAAACAAAACAAACAAATTTAATTCTGATTTATCTCTAATTTGTCAATAACAATAAATACAAACTTTGCTTTAAAATGGATAAACACATTCAAACAAAAGAAATGTGATATATTGAAGTTTTTTAAAAATAAATGTTTCTTTTAAAATATTTTTTTCTTTTGTTCTAGTTTTGTTCTCAATTCATTCAAGGGAATTTCTTCGAATATTTGACTGCGCATAATAAATATTCTTTTGTATTGAGGGTTCTAATATAATAAATATTTATTTACTACTAAAAGCTGTCCATCATTTATAATACTTTAAAAGTGTAACAGAGGAAAGAATAAAAAATATTATATCTCAGTTGGATACAACCAACCACTACACTATTTCCTCTCTCTAAGCCAATTACAAATATATAAGAGAGTTCAACAATTTATATCCTCTTAATCTTATTTGTTAGCCACTCTTTTAATTTATAAAATCATCACGGAAGGGAAGAAAATTCTGAAAATAATAATTTAATTGTTTACATTTCCCGTTCTAAGATTATAAGGGATTATTATAAATAAATAAATATACTATGTTTGAATTATTTATTAAAACATGTTTTGGAAATGTTTTGTTCAGAAAAAAACTTGTTTTGTTTAAATAATAATTAAATAAACTTGTTTTATTAAAAATAGACGTTCATGTTTTTGAAAAACTTATAAACTTGTTTTTATTTTATAAACTTGTTTTGATTAATTAAACTTGTTTTTGTTTAAATAAACTTTTTCTTGTTAAATAAACTTGTTTTTCATTAAAATAAACTTTTTTAGTCGAAATAAACTTGTTTTTGTTTAAATAAAATTGTTCTCATTAAATAAACTTGCTCTATAAATAAATTTGTTTTATTACTTGACAAACAAGTTTAAATGTTCATCAAGTTCATATTTTCCATCATCCAAACATTTTATTCAACTTTTATATGTTTTGAAGGGAAAAACATTACGTAATAAATGTTTGTTGAGTTTATATAAAACATAAAATTTGTTTGTTTTAGTCAATCATTATAAAAATATTAAATCAAGTTTTTAAAAACAAATAAAAATATATATTAAGTAAATAAATAGTTTTTGAGTAATTGGCCTTCCATGACATCTCTTTAGCTTCATTTTTGGCATTATTGCATGGCTTTTATTTTTAATCTGAAAATGAGATTTGGAGGGAAAGGGTTTGGCATTGTTATATAATATTGAAATATATCTTGAAATTAATATATTGATGAAGTACCTAAAAATTATTTTAAAAAATTTGGAAAAATAATTTTTTTAAATAAAGAGGGTATCTAATTATTAAATAAAAAAATTTAAAAATTATCTAAAAAATTAAAATAAATTTTTCTTAATAAATTATGACAAGCCAAGGATTCAATAATAAAAGATATTTTTTAAAAACCGCCACCAAGTCTTCTAAAAAATTTTTTACCATAAAAAAAAAATTTTTTTGTCAGGAAAATTTTTATTCTAAAAATTCTACAGTACTTACTTTATTAAAATAAAATAGTAAATTTATTTAGCAATTACTTAAAGTTTTTAAAAAGATTTATTTAGTACATTGTTTGTCGCTGCTTAATGGGTATACTATTTAGCATTATTCGAGAGAAGATTCTTTCATGTCCCACTAATTGAAAATAAATTTTATTTAAAAAAAGAATGGAGAGGTTTCAATTTCACGGACCGTCAAGAATGCTTCTTTCTATTCACAATTAATTCAATAGAAATATAAATTGTTGATCCTCTCTCCAAACAAATAAATTGGCCGCTTCTCGTTCAGCCCTCAATCTTATTCTCCTCTCAATTCCTCCTCTCAATTTTATTCTTTCAATTTTCATTTATTTACTCAGCTCCTCATTGGCTCTCTCAAGAACTTTAAAAAAATAAAGTAAAAAAGAGGTTGGGCCATCTATCCAATTTTAGTTAAAAAATATATTAGAGGTGGCAATTCTCGCGCATTGCTTTCTACTTTAATTAAATTTATTAGTCTTCTATTTTCTGAAAAAATTAGAGCAATCAACGATTTTGTCTTTCTCAAGTAACGAGCTTCTTCAAAAAACGTACAGATTCCCCTTTGAATCCTTCAAACTTAGAAGATATCCCTTAAACATCCTAATAGGTAGAGACGTCCGAAACCGAAAATTTTTTAAGACTCAAGACGAAGACCAAGATTAGACCCAAGACCCAAGGCCGAAAAAAACCCAAGAAAAGTCTGGAATCAAGACTCAAGACCAAGAGTCTTTGATGTCTCTACAAATAGGTGCCTATCCCAAATAGAAGTCCTGGAAAATTTTACCCAAAGCTCAAGAATTTTTAGACAATTTAAAAATAAGGGTCTCTATTAGAGCATTTTATGGTATCAATATTTTCCCTTCAAGTATCGAGCTTCCCTCTATTTATCCCAACAAGATCCCCCCATTTCTTCCCCCAAAACATAAAATCTTCTCTTAAATTTCAATCATTATAAATATTTTAGTAATTCATGTCAGCCCGTTTTCTAATCGACGATTTACTTACAAAATCCTTACCTTCCGAAAATTACTTGGAAGAGGATAATAATAAAAAGAAAAATAAATTTTTTGTGGAATTTACTCAACTACTTCCCCCTACAATTTTTGGCCAGACTGTTTTGGGGCAAATTCTTCCAAAAATAATTAATGAGAAAATATTTAAGGAGGATGATATGATTGTGGAAGAACAACCAAATTTGGGTAGATAATGAAGATTTAAATGGACAAAGAAAATATTCTAATAGCCGCCCCTCTCTAATAAGTAGCTTAGCCTGTCCAATAGGGAAAGACTCTAGCTTTGCTTCTGGATAAGTTCATTAGTAAACTATAAAGTTGGTTTTGGCATGCCTCTGAGGAGGTTAAGGAAGGAAGGATTACGGATTTTAAGGAAAGGACCCTAGAATTAAAGGATATTAAGGAAGGCTTTAAACTCTAAGGAGACTTGGATTAATTTCCTGAGACGGATATCGCCTTGAATACCTCAGCCCAAATCCTTTATTTAAAATTAATTTAAGAACGTAAAGGAGGACAAAGTGAAGAAGAATCTACTTGCAACAAAATTAAAAGTGAACAGCAGCCTACTAATGATTTGGAACATTTACTTAGCCTTAATAAATCTGTATTCCATAATCAACCAATCAACGAACAAAAGAAACTCGAGAATAATGGTAGGTTAAAAAATATTTTTTAAATTTTTTAAAAATCTTTTAAGAGCTAATCATCCCCATAAAAATTTTTTCAAATCATTTTATCACATCATTAGTCCCTCAATTAAATAAAAATAAAATATACTGTAATTTGAGAGACTCATCTTTTAGTTGCAAGGTGTCTCTCTCAAATTGTCCTTTTAATTGGAATAATTTTAAATTTAAATTTTACTCATTAGGAATCGCCCCAGCCTGGTTCCTACCCTTCCAACAACAACAAACTAATCATTTACTACCAAATAATTGTTTAAAACAATTTCCACAATTGACACTACCTCCCCAATTTATAACCAACATAAACAAATCGAGTGGGCATTTTATCCCATTCTTTGGCCATTTAATCAACAATCATTTTAATCAAAATAACCACAAACAGCAGAATTTAAATTTGCACCATAAAAGGAAGGGAGGCCAAATACGCTTTAGTAATGAACAAACGGATATTTTGGAAAGAACTTTTGATGCTAAAATGTATTTGAGCACTCAGGAAAGGAAAAGAATTTCGAGAGCTTTAAAATTGTCTGAGAGACAAGTAAATTTTTGAAATTTTTAATTTATATTTAGTATTAGATAGATTACAAGAGTAATTCTGATTTAATAAATTCTGATTAAAAGTATAACGCTAAATTTTTAATTAAAATTCTGATAATTATTCTGATAATTATATTTTTTAAATGAATCAGAATTAATAATTCTGATTTTTGTATTTAAAAATAGAACTGATTTATAGTGTATTCAGAAAAATCAGAATTAATAATTCTGATATTTAATAATTCTGATATTTATTAATTCTGATATTTAAATAATTCTGATATTTAATAATTCTGATATTTATTAATTCTGATATTTAAATAATTCTGATATTTATTAATTCTGATATTTAATAATTCTGTTATTTAAATAATTCTGGTTTTTTAAAATAAATCAGAATTCCGGAACAATATTATAATACACTTTTCCGGAAAATATTAAATATAATGTCTATCCGGAAATATAAATCAGAATTTTAGTTCCGGAAACAAATAAAATTATAACTTTCCGGAAACTTAAGTTTATAAATCAGAATTAATATTCTGATTTCTATTAAATAACTATGAGTTTATATTATTTTAATATAATAGGGTATGTATAATTCTAAAAATATTTTTTCAAAGGTCAAAACTTGGTTTCAAAATAGAAGGGCAAAATATAGAAGACAAGCACCTGCAGATTCTGATTGTGTTCAACCAAGCGATGATTCTTTAATTAATAATCAACAACAACAATATAGAAACGATTTATTTAATATAAAATCTCAACATTTTTTAGAAAATGTTGATTAAAAAATTTTTTTTCTTGAATATTTCAGAAATATTTCTCCCAAAAAATATTTTTTCCAAAAAAATTTCTTTTCTCTATAAAGAAAATTAAATTTCTGATTTTTATTTAATTAAATTTTCTTCTCATTTTAGACACCTTATTCTTTTCCCTCCACACACCGTAATCCCCTCTTATTAAAAATTAATTTTTTTTTCTTGTAAAGGGTAAATATCAAAAAAATATAATTTACATATAAATTAATCTCTTCAATACCTGTTGACCTAAAAAAGTTAAAAAAAGATTTTTCGGTATGTTTTGTTTTTAAGTAAAAATGCGCGAAGGAAAAAAAACAAAACAAAGCGAAAATCTTCTTTTAAAGGAAAACTTGAGAGGGGGAATATTTAAATAGAGAAAGATATTTAATTACAAAAGAAGAAAAACATATTAAAATATAATCAGAATATAAGTTTTAATAAAACAAAAAAATCCGCCTGTTTTATTAATAATCAGAATAAAATACAAACAAAAGTTTTGTTTAAAAATCCGCCTGTTTTGATCCCTAAAACAATGTTGGGTAAACCCTAAACAATGTTTTACTCCCTTGAGACAAATAAAACAAACAAAGTCGTAACCGAAAAATCCGCCTGTTTTAATAATCAGAATAAAATACAAACAATCATAAAATTCCGCCTGTTTTCCCGCCTGTTTTTTTAAATTTTATTTAAAGTTTTATTTAATAATTTCAGGGGATTACCCTTTATAAAAATAAATAATAAAAATTATTTGTAAAATAATACCAGGGCTCTCATCGACAAAATGCCACTCAAAAGTATCAAAATCTTGATAAAAAAGTATATAGGGAGAAAATTTCCAAATTTAAAGTATACTCAAAATTAAATTGGAAAATATTTGTTCGTGCTCAAATCTTTTATATTTCTCTCTTAAATGAATCTTTTCTAATAATTTCTTGCTTCCATTGGGCATTTTGTGCATTTCAACGCATGACATGTCAAAATTCGCTGATACAAGAAATAAAGCCCTGACAGTCTTAACCTCAAGCTTTCGTCCATTTTCAGCGCCGCAGGCGAAAATTTTTTGAAATTTGGAGCCCAAGTAGTCAGATTTCTCCCATTTTCAGCGCCGCAGGCGAAAATTTTTTGAAATTTGGAGCCCAAGAAGCCAGATTTCTTTCTTTTTCAGCGCCGCAGGCGAAAATTTTGATAATTTCGAAGGCCCAAGGCTAAAAAAATTCACTTTTTTGCCCAATCCCTTCCCCAATTTCATTTTCAATCCAAAATGTTGATTTTAAAGTATATACTTTCAATAAAGTATAAATTCAATTTCTTAAGTATGGAGGTCGGTTTCAAAGTATAATACTTTCAAATAAAGCACGAATGAGAGCCCTGAATAATACCTATATATAAAATTTAAAATAAAATATTAAATTTAATATTTTTGTAGCCAAATATTTTTTAAATAAATATTTTGTACAATTTTTACGACTTTTTATTTTATTTTTATTTATTTTTTAATAAAAAAATCTTTTTTGAAATATTAATAAAATTTAAAAAAATTTTATTTTATAGAAAATAAAATTTTGTAAAAAAAAGGAGATTACCTAAATATTTCCATAAATAGAAACAATACAAAAACAATATAAACAAATAAAATATAAATATAGGTAAATTCAATATCTGTTTGACATTTTCAAAAACATTTGTTTTTATTCCAACCTTTTCATGTTTTTAAATAAAATAGAAAATTCCGCCTGTTTTGATAATCAGAATAAAATGAAAACAATGTTCTATTCTAAAAATACGCCTGTTTTTCTCCCTAAAACAATGTTGGGAAACCCTAAACAATGTTTTAAAACTTGTAAAACAAACAAGTTTTACCATAAAAATCCGCCTGTTTTTTCTAATAATCAGAATAAAATATAAACAAGTTTTTATAAAAATCCGCCTGTTTTCCCGCCTGTTTTTGAAATAAATTAAATAAAACTTTTTTTTTAATTAAAAACTTTTTTCCAAGTTTATTAAATTATAATCAAAACATTAAAACAAACTTGACCAAGTTTAATTAAATTAAATTTCAAGTTTAATTAATTTCAAGTTTATTTTTTCAGTCAAGTTTTAAAATTAAAGTTTTAATAATTTAATTAATTAATCATTTCTAAAACTTTAAAAAAACTTGAAATAAAATAAAAGGAAATAAAAACAAGTTTGTTTTTAATTAAAACTTGAAAGAATATTTTGATGTGTGACGTTATCAAGTTTTAACAAAAAACTTAATATTAAGTAATTTATTTATTTTTTTATAAAATTTAATTTTTATTTAAGGCTAAGATTTTTTAAAATTAATTTTTTGAAATTAATTAATTTTACTTCTGCTAATAATTTTTTAAAAATATGAAATTTTTTATTTTTCTTAATTAAAAATATTTTTTTATTTTTTAAAAAATCTTAAATATTAAAAAAAAAATTTTTTTTAATTTTTCGTTGATTTTTAATTTTTTAAGAATAAAAAATTTCTTAATTTTTTTTTCATTTTAAATCATTAAAATACCTCAACTTTTACAGTACACAAAATTAAATATACCTATAAATAATTCTCTTCCTCCCATACTTTTCTCAAATAATCCAATTTATTTCCCGCAACACTTACCCCTTCTTTACTTGTCTTTTTAAAAGCTTTTGCTTTCTTTCCTTCCTTCTTCAATTGTCGCGCAGGGGAGATTATCCCCTTGTGAGATTACTCATTTTAAATAATATGTATATTGATGATTGGGATATAAATTGTCTCTTCAAAATTTTATTGGGAAAAAGGTAAACACACTTTAGAAAATTTTGATTTGATGAGTGAATTAATACAGACAGGGAAGTTAATAAATAAAAATAATAAAATTAATACATATTCAGACAAGGAAGTTAATAAATAAAAATAATAAAATTAATACATATTCAGACAAGGAAGTTAATAAATAAAAATAATAAAAATAAAATTAATAAAACGGAAGACATAATATTTATTAGATATCGGGGGCAGAGGTCGAACGGAATTCCAATTTCAGGAAAGTTGAGCTGATTTCCAATTTCCAATTTCCGACAGTTTCGATTTCTGGCACTTTTATCATTACCGATCGACCTCTGATCAGGGAGTGTGTCCCTATTAAAGACAGGACTGAGACGAGATTTTTAACAATAATCTCGGCTATAGAGATTGATCCTTTTGGGATATCGAGCTCGATCCTTGTAATATCCTCTCCCGGTCCGGTCTTTACCATAGTTAGGTATCAGGGATCTAGCCGACAAAAAAATTAAATTCCTGATTTCGAGAATCGGGATTCCTGACCCAAAAAACGTCGGGAATTCCCGATTTTCGGGAATAGGGTCGGTTAGATCCCTGGTAGGGTATACAAAAATTCTCAAAATTAAAATAACTTAATTTTTAATTAATTTATTTTAAATCTTGATAAAAAAGGGAAACATTTTTAATTGTAAAAACCAGTTTTAATTCTTTTGAGGCTTTTTACTTTTAAAATTTTAATAAAAAGAATAAATTTGGAAAATTTTTAGACTAGATAATTAATCAAATTTTAAATTTATTAGAAATTACCTTTCTTTAATCAGTACAAAGTCCAAAAATTTATTTAAAAAATTTTAAAAGTGTTTTTAACTTGAGCTGGTATTTAAAAATTTTTTAAACGTGTATACCAAGGATTCTACTGACAAAAAAAACAAAATTTCCGATTTCGGATATCTGGAATCGTGTCGGCAAGATCTCTGATGATCCTTTACTTTTAGTGTTAAGCCTATGTTTACCTATTGAGTGAAGGAGCTGCCTACCCCCAGAATTGTGTATATCCGCTAGTATAATTTAAAAAAATAGGGGGGCCTTTTCTTTATTGTTTTTTGAATTCTGCATTATTCAGATTTATTTTAATTAATATACATATTTTAAAATTAAAATAGAATTGTGGAAGTAAATTTTATTAAAATCATAGATCAACTTTAAAAATTATTTTTACTATTTTTAGAGACCCAAAAAAGGTTTCTTTTTTTAAGTTATTAAAAGAAACTTTGGGTATTTTAATTTTTTTATTTTATTAATTAATTACTTTTGGGAATCAAAATTTAGTTCAATTTTCTTTTCATTTTTTTCCTCTTCTAAAATTAATTAATTATAATTTTTGTTTTAATGGGTATATAAAATCCAAAGTTTACCCATTTACCTAAAATTATTCCTCCAGTCCTTTTCTGTCCTTAGAAAAAATTTTTTTGATTAATTAACTAGGTATATGTATACCTAGATTATGATACAATAACTAGGCATCTTTTCCCTTTTCGTACTTCAAAAAAATTTTTTAATTAATTAATTAATTAGGTATATAAATAAGGATACAATAGGGTATATAATTAATTATTTAAATTTAAAATCAGAAAAAAATTTTTTTCTTGAAGAAAGAGACGTCCTAAAAGACCTCCTAAGAGACGTCCCTCTAAATGACGATATACACATAAACCTGCTCTCGTGATAATTAATTTTTTTTCCTTTAATTTTCCTCTTAATTTCCCAACATCTCCCTCTCCCCCTCAAAAAAAGTTTAGAGAACATGTGCCAAAAATTAAAAAAATTTCCATTCAGATTTCCCAACATTCCCTTTCATTCTTCCCCAATTTTCTTCCTTGAAACAACTAATAACCACGTGCTTCTATTTAATTTTTTGTCCCAAAGTATATTTAAATAAAAATTAAATGCGCGCGTGTTCCCCCGCCTTTTTTCTTCCTTTTTTGTTACCTAAAATTAATTAAATAAAAGGCCAATAATAAAGAGGTGATCAGATCATTACCTAAAAATTATTTATTTTAAATTAATATATTGCGCTATTTATTTTCTCATATTTTCTAAATTTTAAAATTTTAAAATTAAATTGTTTAATTAATTAATTAATTTAATCAGTTATTTTTTCACCCCTAGAATTAATTTTAAATTTTAAAAAATCAGAATTTTTATTTTTTAAAATTCGCTAATATTCTGATTACAAATTTATTTCAGAATTTTTTTATCAGAATTAAGTGAAAGAGAGAGACAATGCCGTATACCTTACCTATCTTTTTAGAAAATTTCCAACAGATTTTTTAATTAAATAATTTTTTAATCAGCCTAGCACATTCCCTAACACCTTACAATTGTACCTCCCTTACCTCATTGACATGTATATCCTCGGTTTGATGGGTATTTTTATAAAATTGCTTGGCCATTGAGTGGGGGGAACTACCTAGGAAATACTCCGCTACATCCTTCAATATAACGGACGATTTTTCCAGAGATGTACACTATTATCAAATGATTTTTTATTGTCAGTAAGTAAGGTCCTAAGGTCCAATTGTATATAAATTTAAAAATCGAATTTTAAAAAATCAAAAAAGGGTTAAAGTATCACTCTAGATCTTGACTCATTCTTGGACCACCAAAATATAAACAAAATATTTATTTTTCTTTTTTTTATTTATTAATTTAATTAATTAATTAATTATCAGCAAGTAAACAACCCCCAAAAACAACCCCCCCCCTATATTTGTTTACAGCCAATTATTTTTCAAATCATTTTTTATTGCCAGCCGGTCCAAAAAATCTTTTCTTTCTTTTCGTTGATATTCTTCCTCTATTCTTCATTTTCTTATCTTTTTCTATCTCAACTTTTTTACAATAAAATCTGACAAAGAAGGAGACGTGGCAACTGCCTTTAACTACCCCTTTGAGTAAACGACTGTCACTAACAACGCAACAAAAATTGGCGCTCATTTGGGGAAGGAACAGATATAAAATTCTATCGATTCTTTCGTGTGTGACCTTTTTTTCTATTTATTTTTCCTTTCTAGAGTTTTATTATTTCCAACAATTTTAAAAATTAAAAAATAAATTTATTTAAATAAAATATTCTAATAATTCTGAAAAATTTATTTTTAATTTTAAAAATCAATTTATTAATTTTATTCTTTTCTTTAATTTAACAAAAGAAATAACCGGCTGGCTGTTGTTTACTTGCTTGGTAAAATAAAAAATAGAGAAAATTGAGGAAAGTGTTTTGGGTAGATTAATTTAATTTTTTAAAATATAGGGGGTGATTAAACTTTGAAGGGGTAATTTGGGGGGTCTGTAATATTTTTTAGATTTTTTTAAATTTATTTTTAAGTCCATAAAATATTTTATTTTTTAAAGCATTTTATTGTCATTTTTTCCTTACATGTACACATAAAAGAAAATGTTTTTTTTAATTTAATCATCAAGTTGGGACTAAAATTTAAACGTTATATTCATTCTAAATTTTATTAAAAATTCTGATTTGTATTTTTCTATTTTATAGTCACTTTATTTTAATAATTCTGATTTTATAAATTTCTTTAAATTCTGATTTTCTAATTCTGATTTATTAAAGAAGAATATCCTCATTATTTCTGATTTTTTTATTATAAAAATCAGAAATTATAATTCTGATTTCTTTAATTCTGATTTCTGATCTCTATATTCTTAATTCTGATATAACTCTGATTTTTCTGATATTGTTATTATTTCTGTGTTTATTAATATTCTGATTTAATCAGAATTTTATAATTCTGGTTTTCTTATTTTATTTTATTAATTCTGATTTATTTAACTGATAATTCTGATTTTTGTATTTTTCTTGTATTTTTCATATCAGAATTTTATAATTCTGATTTTTCTGATCTCTTCAAATTAATAATTCTGTTCATTTTAATAATTCTGATTTTTAAATACATTCAAAAATACATTTATTAAAAAAAGAAAAACACAAAAAAATACAAAAGGTAGCGGCGTTGTCTCTCATCTTAACTTAATCTTTATTTAATCTTTTATTTAATCCTGTACAAAGTTTAGAACAAAAATAAATATATTTTTATTTTTTTATTAAATTCGAGTACATTGCACTTATATTTATTTAATTCCTTTTTTCAAAAAAATTTTTTTTGAATTTTTTTGGCCAAAATAATTTTTTAATTATTTTTAATTATTTTTTTTCGATTTATTTTTAATTTTTAATTTTTTTTAATTTAAGAATTTCTTTGAAAAATTATAATTTTTAATCTCCCCTTCTCATTTTTAAAATATTTATAAAAAATAAAATTATGAACCCATCAGAGCCCATTGCCGGTTTTGAACAGATTGATGTCTCTAAATCCTTGGTATGTTTCTTTTAAAAATTAAAAATATTATTACATATCTCTCTTATCGTACTCTTTATCATTTAAATTATTAAAAAAAATAAAAAAAATTTTTGGGAATATTTCTCGGGTCTTTCTACCCCCACCCCCCCCCCCCCCCCCCAAAAACACTTTCCTCCTCAATTACCAGCAACAACAACAGCCAGCCAGCTTGTTTTTTAATAAAAACAACAAAATTTCTTTGTTAAATTAAAGAAAGGGTATATTTAATACAGGAATATTTTATTATTTTATTTTCTAAAAATATTTTTGGTTTGTTGGCAGTTTGGCTGGCTTTAAATAAAAATATATTTTTATTAAATTTATTTCTACTCCTTCCCTCCTATCCCAAAAAAATTTTATTTTTCAACTTCTCCCCTCCCTTTAAAATTAAAAAAAAATCAAAAATCCCTCTGGCCTTTTCAATAAAATTCTGAAAATTTTCCAAAAATTTCTTAAAAAATCAGAAAACTCCAAAAAATTTTCCAAAAAATTCCAAAAATCCTCCCCTAAAAAATGTCTTTAACTAAAAGAAACGAAAATCACCGTTTAATTTCTAAACAGGAGGAAGGCACCAGAACAACATCCATCACCACCACCACAACCTCCTCCACTTCCCTCCCTCCCCTCAAAACAACTTCTACTTCCAACCCCTCCATTTTCACAACAAAAATTAAAATTTTAATTTTATTGGCCCTCGCCTTTTTTTCATTAATTTTGGCAACAATTATTTTGTTTTTGTCTTCTTCACACTCCGAAAATCAAAAAGAATTCCCCTTTAATTTAAACAAAACATCAGAAGAATTTAAAGATTTATTATCAATTAATAAATTAATTGACCGAAGCAATTATGACCCCAGTGAAAAATCAAAGCTTCCTATTGCTAGTCATCCTATTATGTTTAATGAAGTAAATTTTATTGAATTTTTAAAATTAAAAAATTTTTTTTTTATTTTTGAACCCATTAAAAAATTTTTATAAAAAAATTTTTTTTTGTCCGCAAAAAATTTGCGGAAAAGTTTTGCGGATAAAACTTGTCCGCAAATTTTTTGCGGATTAAAATAGATTTTTGAATTAAATATTATTTAATAATTTAATTTTATCAATTATTTTTTATTTAAAATAAAAAAAATTTTTCAGACGGGTTGGTCGAGCTATAGGCCACAACTATATTTTGGGTTGGTTTATTTTTTTAAATTCTTAAAAAATATTAAATTAAAATATTTGTTAATTTTTTAATTAATTTTTAAAAATTTTTAGTTTAAAAAATCGACGTCCAGATTCCCCATTATTTGGAGTTATGTGGTACCGTCAAAAATTAGCTACAAAACCTGAAGATATTGTTTTGAGAAATTGGGCAAAACACGGTAATTTTAAATTAAAAATACACACAAAATCAGAATTTAAAAGAAGAAATAAACCAGAATTATTAAATCAGACGGAAATAAAATTAAAATTTTAAACAAACATTAAGTCAGACTTTAATAAAAACATAAGAAATACAAAATCAGAACTAAAACCAAACATAAAATCAGAATTTTAAATGAACATACAAAACCAAAATTTCAAATGAACACAAAATTATAGGAATATAAAACCAGAATTTAAATAAAACACATAATCAGAATTCAATAAAAACAAGAAATACAAAATCAGAACTAAAAATAAAGAATCAGAATTTTAAATGAACATACAAAACCAGAATATCAAATGAACATATGTAATATAAAACCCGAATTTAAACAAAACACAAAACCAGAATTTTAAATGAACATAAAATAAAATCAGAACTTAAATAAAACACAAAATCAGAATTTTAAAATAACACAATGAAACACATTTATTACAGAGGATGATGTTGTATTTATGTGGAACCAACATGACGGTCGTTCTTTTGGTTCCCAAAAATTAATTGATGGAGAATACAATATCCGAACTGATTTTCTAAATTTCAAATCCTCTTCTTGGATGGCCAGATTTTATTTAACAAATAATTCAACAACAAAAGAATGGCCCCAACAACTGGCATTTATTCTCTATTTTGCCGTTCAGGACCCAATTTCAACACTTCAAATGACTTCAATACACCCTACAAAAAGTGGAGAAATTAATTTACTTAAAGGAAAGTGTGATGCAGTCAACGGAGAATTTTATTTAAAAGTTAAACCAATTTCTGGGAGCGGGTCGAAAATATCTGCTACAGCAATTAAATCAGAACCTTTCCCCGATATGGCTAAAACTAGTGAAATGGTTAAAGAAAAGTTGCATAAACAATTGGATGGAAATTTTGCGTTTGATATTGTTCAGAATATTGATGAGAATAATCCGAATATTATTGCTTTACAGATTAGTGCTAAAGGTAGTGTATTAAAATAAATAGGAATAAAATACAAAAATCAGAATTAAGAAAAAATACAAAAATCAGAATTAAGAAAAAATACAAAAATCAGAATTAAGAAAAAATACAAAAATCAGAATTAAGAAAAAATACAAAAATCAGAATTAAGAAAAAATACAAAAATCAGAATTAAGAAAAAATACAAAAATCAGAATTAGAGAAAAAATACAAAAATCAGAATTAAGAAAAAATACAAAAATCAGAATTAAGAAAAAATACAAAAATCAGAATTAAGAAAAAATACAAAAATCAGAATTAAGAAAAAATACAAAAATCAGAATTAAGAAAAAATACAAAAATCAGAATTAGAGAAAAACACAAATCAGAATTATGATAAAATACAAAATCAGAAAGTTAAATAAAATACACACATATCAGAATTATTAAAATTCTGATTTGTATTTATACGAATAAAATACAAATCAGAATTAATTACCTTCACAAATACAGATCAGAATTTCGATTAAAAATACAATTAAAATACAACCCAGAATATAAAATACAAAAATCAGAATCTTGCTGGTTTAAATTATTATCTAGGTATACTATACTTTGCGCTGAACTGTCCTTAAGTATAAATTCTTATAGGACAGTTCAGCGCAAATTACAGTATACCTTTAAAATAAAAATATTAAACGATTAATTATTTTTATTATTTATTACAGAAGATACAGCTTTTGAAGTCCTTTTCCATTCCGTAAATGATGGAACACCCCCAAGCTTTACTGACGTATTTAGAGAGAAGGAAGAGGCTTTTCGTTCAAACTTTAGCCGTGCTTTTCCAATTGCTGTAAAAATTAATTTTTAAAATCAGAATTGAATTAAAAAAATTTCAGAAGAATTACTCAGCAATTTATCACAAAATGGGACACGCAGCCCTTTCAAATTTACTTGGAGGGATTGGTGTTTGGCACGGAAGTTGTAAAATGCGTTCGCATTTATTCACACCTCCCGACTCTGTCAAGCCTTACGGACCTTTATCTTTAATGTCTGCTGTGCCTTCACGTACAGGATTTCCTCGAGGGTTTATTTGGGATGAGGTGAATTTTTTGTTTAATTTCATAGGGACACGGAATTTTAAAAAATTCATATCTCCCCCTAGAAACAGTATTTTTGCGAGAGATTTTCTAATGCTATTTACTAAAATCGGAGAGAATATGAATACTTAAATGGATCTCCTCTAAGAAATTTATTCAAATTTTATTATCCGACTTAATCCCCTCTATCTCCCACAGTCTTTACTTCTTTGGAAAAAATTCTGAAATTTCTAACAGAAATAGCTTTAGATTTTAAAAAATTCCCTACTTAAATTATAACCTTTTTCAGGGTTTCCACAATATGTTAATTCACAAATTCGACCCCCTCCTCACAGTCCAAATTATTGGTTCCTATTTGGACATGATGAATATTGATGGTTGGATGCCTAGAGAAATAGCTATTGGCTCTGAAGCTGAAGCACGCATTCCAGGCACTTTTCTAGTTCAAGAAGATTGGGTTGCTAACCCTCCAATGTTTTTCTATTTGATGAGGGACTTTATTTCTGATAAAGAGGTGAATTTTGGGTTTATATGGTATAGATAGTACACCGTCCCCGGAAGCCGGGAAATTTGAAAATAGAAAGGCCTAGGCCTTCTATGCGTCCTAGCTCAAGGTCCTAACTCATCGGGAAACATCTCTAGTTATTAATTAGATTGTTGGAGATACCTTGTGGAGAACTGGGATGACGGGAGATAGCATCTTATCTCAGGAATCGTGGTCGAGGACCAACACTCCTTTTTTAACTTTATTCAAAAATTATTTTTAGCTATTCCATCGTTACGGCCCTGAATTGAAAAGAATGTATCCTAGAATGAAACAGCTTTATTTGTGGCTCAGGAACAGTCAAGCTGGACCAAAACCTGGCACTTTTCGTTGGCACGATAGAAATGCAACTACAAATATGGAATTAAATCCGTAAATTTTTGTTGGATTTTATCGGTGTTGGATGGTTTTGGCTTTAATATTTTATTAGAGCCCTTGGGGATTTCTCTGGACATATATCTCATACAAATAAAAAATTAGGGAATATTCAGAGATTTATTAAGGCCTTCGTACGGGCTTTCTTCCTCCTCACATTTTTTTTCTAAATATGGTAGGGCCCCTCTACCCTAACTTATACCTTACTAACACTAGGACCTAACTGGGACGGGCCTTACAGGAATCAAGATTGCTACCTTAAAGAATCTTGATTTTCGATAGCCTAGATTTATGTTTAAGCTCTCTTCTAGGCTCAATCTATAGTGGGATATCTTAATTACTTGTGATAACAAAAATAATTTTATAGGTGTTCATTAGCCAGCGGTTTTGACGACTTCCCCAGGGCCACACACCCAACAGAAAAAGAATATCATGTAGATTTACGTTGTTGGATGGCTATGAGTTCTTCCGTGTTGGTTGATTTAGCTAGACAATTTGGGGATGAAGAATTCTTACCGGCAATTGAAAGAGAATCTGAAACACTTAATGATGTTGAGAGTTTGGATAAATTGCATTGGTCTGAGGATAAACAACAATATTGTGATTATGGGTTACACAGGTACATATTAGATTAAACAAATATTAATTCTGATTTTTGAATTCTGATTTTTATTTTTAAATAATTCTGATTATTTTAATAATGACGTTAGCTACCGAATAATTCTGATTATTTAATAATTCTGGTTTAACTCTAATTTTCGTTTTTAAATTATTCTGGTAGTTAAAACAGATCAGAATTTATATTTCTGATATTTTATTTATTTTATTTATTTTATTTCAGTGACTCTGTTAAATTAGTACCAGAAACAACACCAGAAGGAGACACTATTTTAGTACGTAAAGTGCTTAAAGAACCTCAATACAAATTTGTTGAAAATGTAAATGGATATAGTAATTTGTTTCCTCTATTTATGCGTATTTTGCCTGCAAATTCACCACATATTGGCCCTTTACTTAAACAAATGAGAGACCCTGAGCAATTTTGGACAGATTTTGGATTACGTTCAATATCCACACTTTCACCTTATTACTTTACTTGGAATTCTAAATCAGGGTCGCCTTATTGGAGAGGGCCTGTTTGGATCAATATGTAAGTTTTTTTTTAAATTTTTTAAAAAATTTTTTGGGATTTTTAATTTAACCTAACACTAAATAAATTATAGGGGTTTTAATTATTCTGATTTAAATAATTATTAATTCTGATTTAATAAATTCTGATTAATTAAAAAATGTATAACTCTGAATTTTTAACTAAAATAATTCTGATTTAATAATTCTAGTAGTTAATTAATTCTGGTATTTTTAAAATAAACCAGAATTCCGGAATAATATTATATTATTTATTACAATACACTTTTCCGGAAAATATTAAATAGAATATAACTTTCCGGAAAATACAAATCAGAACAAATAATTTTCAGTTCCGGAAACTAAATAAAATAAACTTTCCGGAAACTTAAGTTTTTAAATCAGAATTAATAATTCTGGTCTTGTATTAAATAACTCTGAATTTATAATATTCATAAATAAATCAGAATTAATAATTCTGATATTTGTATTTTCCCGCTATAACTATAACTGATTATTATTAAGTACACAAGCTAATAATAATTAATTCACTAAATTTTCGAACTTTCTAGAAAATTTTTTTCTCTTTTTTATTTATTTAAAAAATTATTTTTACTTTTTTCCATCCTTTCCCCACACATTTAAATTAATTAATTAATCAATCTTTTATTTTTTAAAGGAATTATTTTGCGATCGCAGCTCTAAAACATTATTCGCTGATTGACGGCCCTTTTAAGGAGGAAGCTGGTCGTTTACATTTTGAATTGCGTGACAATTTGTTGAAGAATGTAGCGATGCAGTACGAAAAAACTGGATTTTTGTGGGAGACATATAATGATAAAAATGGGCAAGGAGAAGGCAATCATCCTTTTACGGGCTGGACAACTTTAATATTAAAGATTTTATCAAATACTTATTAAATGAAGAAAAAATTAAAATAAATGTACTTAAAAATAGGTAAATGATTGAGGAGGATGATGAGATTTAAAAAAAATTTTTTTTAATTTTTAAATTATGTTTAAATTGTAAAAAGGTGCGCAACTACCTGCAGAGGAAATTCTCTCTCATTTTAGTAGTGTAAATTTGTTCTGATTTAATTAAATATTCTGATTTAATTATTAAAATCAGAACTTTCTTTATAACTCAGAATAATTTATTAAATCAGAATTAAATTAAACCAGAATTAAATCAGAATTTTTTCTGATTTATAAATTTATTCTGGTTTTTATGGAAAAATGAGAAAGAATCTTCCCCCAAAATAGGAGTGCAATAAATTAAATAAAAAAACTTTACTAATTTAATTAAAAAATCTTATAAATCAATACTTTTAATTTAAAATTTAAAAAGCCCAAAAATTAAATTTAAAAAATATTTTTTTAATTAAAAGTGTTGATTTAATAAGGATATTATAAATACTTATTATTTTTCCCTTTCTTCTTGTTCCGGTCACACTTTTAATTTTTTTATTTTAAACTTCAACCCTTCTAAGTTTTAATTAATTCTGATTTTATTATTGTCTAGTAATGTGTTTGTTAAATTAAAAACTTTAAACTTGTACTTAAAAATATTTACAACTTTAATTTTGTTAATAATGTTAAAATGTATTTTGTGTTTTTCATCGAAAATAAAACTTTTTTTAGTATACTTTGTATTTTATAAAATTAAAATAAGAGTTATACTTTGTTTTCATTAGTTCTGATTTATAAACTTAAGTTTCCGGAAAGTTAAGTTTATGTATATGTGTAATTTCCGGAAATTATAATTCTGATTTATACATAGTTTCCGGAAAATAATTCTGAGTTATACTTTTTCCGGAAAGTTAATTTATAGTTATTTTCCGGAAAAAAATTTTCCGGAAACGTAAATATTAAATTAGATACTAATAGTTTCCGGAAAGTATTAATATTCTTATTTAATTCTGATTTATAGTTTCCGGAAAACATTTCTGAGTTATACTTTTTCCGGAAAGAAATTTAATTTATAGTTTATTTTATTTATAGTTTCCGGAAAGTATTAGTATTCTAATTTAATATTTACACGTTTCCGGAAAATTGTTAATTCTGATTTAGTTTAATTTCCGGAAATTAATTTTATTTTCTGATTTAAATAATTCTGATTTATAAAATAACCATCAAACAAATAAAATATTTATTCAATAATACCATAAAATTGGCTGTCATTAAAATTAAAAAATATTTTTGAGCACAACAAATCGTAATATCGAGGTGTGGCTTGTCGAGTAAATTAAAGTGAAAGAAAAATCGAAAGATTACATCAACAAAATTAATATCAAAATTAATTATTTTTGTAGAAAATAAAGAAAAATACATTTTAAATAAACTAAAATGTAAAGCAGGAAAATACAAAGTATAATATAGTTGATTTTTTGCTTATTTTTTGATGGATAGTATGAAAATATTTTTTTCCAAAAAAAGAAAAAAAGTAAAAAATTCTCTTAATTTTACAAAATTAATAATTATTATGCCCCTCAATTAATTTTTGAGGGGTAAGTGAGTATTAAAAAACATTTATTAAAATCTAAAAGAAAGCAATACGGTAATTTTTATTCTGTCTGAGTCATCATCTTCTCAAAAATCTGAAAATTGTTAGAGTTATTAATTAATGTTCTGATTTTGTATTTTTAACATATAACTCTGAATTTAATAATTCTGATTTTGTATTTCTTGTTATTCTTTCCGGAAAGTTTTGTATTTTATATAAAATACAAAAATCAGAAAGAAAATACAAAAATTCTGATTTTTGTATTTTTATTAATTCTGATTTGTATTTTTCTGTGTTTAATTTAAAAAATACAAATCAGAATTTTTGTATTTTTTTGTGTTTTTATTAATTCTGATTTATAAATAATTCTGATTTCTGTATTATGGTATAACTCTGAGTTAATTTTAATTCTGAAAATAATTCTGAGTATAACTCTGAATTTTTAATTAATTCTGATTCTTTTAAAATAATTCTGATTTTCGTATTTTTTAGACGTTCTAAATTAATTTCTGAGTTATTTTCCATAAAAATTAAATTCTGATTTTTATTTTATTTTTTACCTTCAAATAATTCCCTGCCATTATTTCTGAAGTAAATCGCTTCTCAAAAGTTTCACGTACCAATGCCCTATCCATTTTGTGTACTCGTTTAACGGCTTCTACACCTTCATCGATTGTATCAAAAATTATTCCTGTTACTCCCTCCTCCACAACCTTTAAATATTTTATTTTTTAAAATTTTTTTCAATTTTTTCTAATAAAAACCTCCGGAACAGACCCACAAGGACGGGCAACTATCTAAAAAATTTTTTGAAAAATTTCAGAATTTTTTCAAAAAACCCACAGGTGTTCCACAAGCCATAGACTCGGCCAAAACAAGTCCAAAAGGTTCATTCCAGTCGATCGGGAACAATAACGCTCTCGCATTCCCCAAAAATTCTCCCTTTTGACTATCAGTAATTTCCCCAATATACTCCACCAATTCCGGATTTTGATCAACTAACGGCTTAACCTCAGTCTCCCAAAATTCAACATCTACTTTATCAATTTTTGCAGCTATTTTTAACGGAATCCCAGCCTTCACCGCTATTTTAATTGCAATATCAGGTCTCTTCTCCTCTGCAATGCGCCCCAGAAAGGCCAAATAAGGCTCTTCTCCTTTCGGTTTTGCTGTGAAATTGAACATATCTTTTGGTATTCCGTGGTAAACAGTTCCAACAAAATTTGGATTTTTGTGTTTTAAATGTGTTCGTTGGTTGTCGGAGATTGAAATTAGTTTGGAGTGGGGAAAGCATGAAAAGAGGGGGACCAAGTCCGGAATACAAAGCTTTCCGTGTAGTGTAGTTACTGAACGTTCACTAATGTCTTTTAACATGCCGAAATGTTCGAATGTGTGGAAGTGCTGAAGAAAAAAAATTTTTTTAAAGTCAACCTAAATGGGGCTTAATAGGGGTGTCAGAAATCAAAGTCTCAGTCTCGAGGCCATATTTCTGGCCATAACTTTTTTGATTCTTAACCGATTTAAATAAGTATTATACCAATCGAAAGCTCTGAATGTGTGGATTATTTTAGCTAACAGGATTGATTTGATAGGATAATCCTACAAAAAGTTATGGCCGAATAAATGCGTGCAATCGTGATTTTTGCTCTTTATTTGGTTGTAACTTTTAGTAAAATGATCTGAGCAAATCAATCCATTTAACAAAAATAATCCTTGCATTCAGAGCTTTCGAATGGTATAATAATTATTTAAATCGGTTAAGTATGAAAAAGGTTATGGCCCAAAATAAGACCTCGAGACACGGCGATCCGCAAACTTTTTGCGGATATCCCCAAAGTTTTTCTAAACAAATTTCTTAAAACCCACCAAAATATCAAAATCATTCTGTCTTTTTCTTACATCTTCCAACATACACAAAAATGGAATTATAGGTATACAAACAGGATTTAGACGTAAAGCTGGCCTTAAATTAGTATAAAATATTTTAGATACAACTTTAGGGGGGGGGAGAAAAAAAGTAAGGGGAACTGTCTATATAATTCTACCAAATTTAAGATAAACTCCCATTAAAAGGTACGAGTTTTTATGTCCCAAGGTGTCGTCTATCTCCTAAGACCTCAAAAAATTTGTTTTAAATACCTCTCGGTATTAAATATGATAACCAAGGGGTGCCCCCCCCCCCCCCAAAGGAGAGGAGGAAGTAAGTTAATAACCCCCTAGCTTTTTAATTTTCTAATTTTTTACCAAAAATCATTAGCAACCATTTCTGCACTAGTTTTACTGTCAGAGGAACAAAAAAGAGTAACTTGATGCCCTCTACGTACCAATTCTTCTGTTAAATAATGGACTACACGTTCAGTACCTCCATACAATTTTGGAGGAACACTTTCAAATAGAGGAGCTATTTGGGCTATTCGAAGACGTTGATTCGGCCGTAATGGACGAGGAATGTGGGCGATAGTTCCATTAACTGCATCTTAAAGATTTTAAATTTATTAAATAAAAATTTTTTGTCCGCAAAAATTTTTGCGGACATATGCGGATAAAATTTGCGGACAAGTCTAAAATTTATTTGAATTGGAACAAAAAGATTCATGAGTCACCTTTCCGGTTTTCTTATAAAATGTTTTCTTGTTCCATTTTCAACAATTTCAGTGTCCACAAATATTTGTCCGCAAGTGTTCGCAGACCTGTTTTAAAAAATACTCAAGTATTGCGGAGGGGGCCTAATACGGTAGTTCAAAAAGAACATAGTCTTCTCTTACAAAATCAAAAATATTACCTTTAGCGTGTCCGTTAGTTAACCCATTCAAAGCTGGCATTTCACAGCCATTTCCAACAACATTTTTTAAATCTTTTTTGTTTACTCCATTTATATATCCATTTTGGTGGTAACCATTTTTTGTTGGTTGTTGATCGTCACATTTATTTGATAAAACTCCATTTTCTGTTACAATTCCGTTTAGATGTGAGGGTAATGCTTCCATTTTTTTGTATTTTTTAAAGTTTATTTTTTAAGTGTAAAATGACTGTAGAAATTAACAGCTAAAAATATTAAAATATTTTTGATTAATAGTATAGGGGATGATTATAGTGTGAAACAGGCTGTGCCGTTTCGTCTTAAGACTTTGTCTTTCGATTGGTGTTTCATCTTTTGTTTTTTAAAATCTGTTTCGGCACACTCCCGGTGTGAAGGGAACATTGTTAGGTAGTATGAAGGGAACGTAGGTAGGTAGTGTGAAGAGGACATTAACAGGTAGTCTGAATGGAACATGGTTCGATTGTGCGAATGGGATATTTTTCTGGGTAATGTGAAGGGGACATGAAGTAGTGTGAAGGGAACATTGGTAAGGTAATCCGAAGGGGACATTGGTCTGGTAATGCGAAGAGGACAATGGTAAGGTAATGCGAAGGGGACATTCTTGGGTAATGTGAAGGGGACGTTGTTGGGTAGTGTGAAGGGGACATAAAATTGAACAGAAATATAGGAACACGATGTAAGAGATAGCAAAAATAAAAATTTTAAAATAAAAAGGCTCTAAATTTACTTTACTCTCTCCCTCCAAAATTTTTTTTGATCACAAAAATAAGAGTAAAAATATTAAATTAAATGAATGCGCAGTCCAACAAATAAATCTTTCTCCTAAATAAATAAATTTTTTTTATTTTTCTGACAGCCAATACCTTTTTGTATTTTCCCCCTAATTGCACACACATTCCTCTCCTTTCCCGTCGGAATCCAGCCCCTCCCCTCTCCCGTTTTTTTATTAAACATTTTTTCTTCTTCATCCTACGCTTTATTCGCCTTATTTTAAACACCTCCCCCTAATCTTTGCGCGTTCACGTGTACCCTCCAAAAACGCCGAAAAAAATGTTCTCTGATTATTAATAGCTTAGTAATCTTGATCAGCTTTTAGAAAAAACAAAGGAAGTAAAAGAGAACATTGGTGTGTGGGTAGTGCGAAGGGAACATTAACTGGGTAGTGCGAAGGGAACATTAACTGGGTAGTGTGAAAGGCACACGACGACCATGTTCTCTTTTTTAGACAATAAAAATTAAAGAACATCCGAAAAGGAGGTTGAACACTAATTGATCTTAATCGGCATTTAGGCTTGAAAACAAAGAAATTATTGATGTAAAGCGAAGGGAACATAGGTGGGTAGGGTGAAGGGAACATTGTGCTCTCCATGTGAAAAGCACAACCCTTCGTTCCTTTTTTAGACAAAAATGAACAAAAGAGAGATGAACACTAGTTGATCTTAATCACACAATTAAGCTTGAAAACAAAGAGATTATTGATGTAAAGGGAAGGGAACAAGGGTGGGTAGGGTGAAGGGAACATAGGTGGGTAGTGCGAAGGGAACATGGTTCTCCGTGTGAAAAGCACACCCACTCTCCCTCCTATTTTAGACAATAAAAATTTAAAAAATAAACAAAAGAGAGGGTGGCACTTGGTTCTTAGCCCTCCAAAAATAATCCAAAAAAAACAATTTTAAACAAATTGGACCCCACACAAATATATTTCTGATCAAAAAATTCACATGAAAATATCCCTTACAAGGCTAAAAATATAAAATGTTTTGTTGTAATTCTTCTCTTTATAACTAAATATATTTTAGTAATGGTGGGATGGCCATTTCTTTTTATTTATTTTACTAAATATTTTTTGTTGAACATTGATATAAGAAATTTGGTGAATAATTTTGAAAAGAAAAGAGGAGTAAGATGTCAAGTGTTTTAAGGTGCGCAAAATTTTAAAATTCCGATTTAACGCCAAAATTGGCAAAGTGTGACGAAGGTAAGGGAGGTGTAAAAGGAAGAAGGCAAAAGTAGTGCGAGAGGAACAAGAGTAGTGTGAAGGGAACATGGGGGTAATGTAAAAGGGTAAACGGGATTGGTAGTTTGAAGAGGACATAAGTAATGTAAAAGGAACATAGACAGGGTATTACGGTAAGAGCTCAAAGATAAAGTAAAAGGACCAGGGGTAGTACGAAGGGAACAAGGGGTAATGTGAAGGGAACATAGGTAGTGTGAAAAGTTCAAAGGTAGTTTGAGAGAAACATAGGTAGTCTGAGAGGAACATATTTAGGTAGTGTGAAGGGAACAAGGTAGTGCGAAGGGAACACATATTTGGGCCATTGAAAGTCTAAATTCTATGGCGCACACCAAAATAAATGTGCGCAGACAAAAAACAACAAAACGGGGGGCTATAAATTTCAGCAAAACTTTTTTTAAAATAAAAATTTCTTAATTGGGCGAAGAGGAGGAGAAAAATTTTTATTTATTCGTTAAAAAAATACATTATTCATTGATATAGTTAATTGAAGAAAAAAAATATTACAATGTGTGAAATTTAATTTTAAAAAAAAATTTAAAAATAAAATAGAGGAGGAAAACGTTAAAAATAAACGAAAAATATTCTTGCGTTACAGAAAAATAGTAGAGAGAAAAATAAAATTAAAAAAAAATATTGTAGCAGTAATAATAGTAGATGAACTAGGGTAGCAACCCGACCCATCGGGGGCGAGTCTGTCAGGGATCGGGGTTTGCCGAGGAAGGTATGTCGGGGTTCGGGGTTAGATTAGAATTTCTTAGATTTAAATTTCAGTCCCACAAGCAAAATTTTTTAATTGATAAAGTCGGGGTTTCGGGGGTCGGGTTGCTACCCTGAGTAGAACCTTTAATTTAAACATAATTTTTTATTTAAAAAAATCGCCCAAAAATGGATGGTATTTTTTGGAATAAATTAAAGATTCTAACTTGACTCTCATTACAAGACACCCATCTCTCGTAAGTGGCATTTTAAAAATTAAATATGGAATGTTTATTGTCTAAATGGAGGGATGAGGCAGTTTCTTTTCCCCTCTATTAATCAACAAAAAATTTTTTCAAATCATCAGCTTAAGAAATTTTTCTTTCAAATGGGTATCTTATAAATGAACGATTTTTTTATTGTCAATTAAAATAAATTTCAAAAAAAATATATGTATATAAAAATTCCTTTCTAATCTTATTTCTCAAAAATTTCAAGTAATTATTATCACCCCCCCCCCCCTTTTTTTTTCTTCATTTTCAAATTTTTAATTTAAAAAAAAAAAATAAAATATATTAGTAATACAAATATATAAAGGTGCAGGGGGAAACACACAAGATTTTTTTGTGGTCTTTGCAAAATAAAAAAAAATTGAAAAATATTATATAATTATTCAAAACTTAAAATTTCCTTTCCTTTCCCTTCCACTCTCTCACCTTTCCTTCTTAAAAAAATTTTTTTAAAAAGATTAAATTAGTGGAACGTTTTACCTTTCTTATGAAGATGAATCGTCTCCATCATCCTTGTCATCATCGCGCTTTGGACATTTTCTTGATGGAACGCTTTAAATTAAATAAAAAGATTTTTTCAAGAATTTACAAACTACACACAAAATTTAAAATTAAAAAGAAAATTCTTTTTGAAGGAGGATAGGGTCATGGTCACAGAAAAAGATTTCAAGACGTTCGCTGAATAAACAGTGAATGCTTGTAACTAGAGTTGCGCGAGATCGAGATTTTAGAAAAAATCCGAGACCGAGATTGACCGAGACTCGCATGACCGAGACCGAGACCGAGATGCAAAATTTGACCCGAGACCGATATCGAGATCCGAGATAAACCGAGATTCTCTAAAACTCTTTTTTATCCACCAAAACCCATTTAAATTAATTAAATATCATCTAAATCATCATCAAAATCATCTGTTTCATCAAAATCATTTTCAGTTGGCGGACTAAGCAACATATTTGCCTTTACACAGGGGGTCGGTTTATTAGAAGAGGTAGAGACAGTCGCACTATTAGAAGAAATACGGTATATATATACCGATCTCTAAGTGCATTACTAAAAATTAGCCAAGCCTTGCTAAATAAACGTTCCGAGCTTACTAACGAGGCAGTGATCTTCAATAAATCCCCAATGAGCCTTGGAAAATATTGTTTCATCATAAAAAAGAGTAGTATTGAAAGAATTTTATTATCTTTTTTTAGAACCCCTTATTCGCCTCAAAACTGTAGATCTGTCAACTCCTCTCTAGGGGTACACGACTAAATAATGGGCGCAGACGAATAGGCGCCATGTTTTAATACAAATAATAACTCATTTACATGAGTTCGACGAGCTGATCAAATGATACCGAAACCAGCTTGATTTGTAATTATGCACAAACTTATGTGTGTGCATAATTCTTCGATACACGATGGCCGTGCTTCGCTGCGGTCGTGCTCGCTTCGATCGCGGCGACCGTAGCGAAGCGGCGGCCGTCGTTCCGCTCGACATGCCCGGCTTTCTCCGCAGCGGCAAAACTTTTTACCTGGCCTCGCGCCTACTTGGGCGTGTCCCATTTAAGTGAGCACAACAATATGCCAATAGCGAAATCTTAAATATTTTGTCAAAATAAAAATAAATCTCAAGAAGGTCAATCTTAAGGGGTGTATACTGATCTCGGATCTCGGCGAGATTAAGTGCCGAGAATCTCGTCTCGGTTAGGAGGTCTCGTCTCGGCAAAACCGAGACCGAGATTGGAAAATGACCGAGATTCTCGTCTCGGTCTCGGTCGAGATATCGATCTCGCGCAACTCTACTTGTAACGGGAAATATTAGGTGCGGACATAATTAGTGACACATTTTTTCAATCGCGGATAAAAATATTAAACTCTAATATTTTTCTCTTAGTTTATATATCATTTTAAAGCTTAAAAAGTCCGCTTTCATTTCATATATAACTTGATAGACTTTTAATTAAATTTCAAATTTTATAAATTAAAGAATGTTTCTAACCCAAACTGAAATTCACAAGCTTTTGCGGAAAATTCTATAATTTAAACAGAAATAAACCAATCCATTTGAAATTTTTCATATATGTTCATCATGGGTTAGTCCATCAAATTATTAAATTTGAGATTTTTTGGTTAGGTATTTCTAAAGTTATAGTCGAAAAAGTCGATTCAGACATATTTTACAAATTTCAAATTTTCTCGAAAAATTTTTGAATTCAATATGACTTGTAATATACCATTCGAAAGCCCTTTCTGAGTTACACAAGATAGTATTAACAAAATTTTATAAAATTTTTAAATTAAGAATTAAATTTACAAAAAACCCTAATGTCAAGTAAAGGAAAAAACGAGTAGAGATACGCCCAAAAACTCAAAATTTCGAACTTTGCGTGGAGCTTTGCGTTGTTTTCGTTTTGTGTTTGAACTTTGCGTTATATATGAAATGAAAGCGGACTTTTTAAGCTTTAAAATGATATATAAATTAAGAGAAAAATATTAGAGTTTAATATTTTTATCCGCGATTGAAAAAATGTGTCACTAATTATGTCCGCACCTATTAATTGTAAAAATTTTTTTTGATTTTCCGAAATTTTAAAAAATCATTCGGAAAATAAAAAACATAAATATTTTCCCGATTTTCATTTTCTCAAAAATTTTTCTGATCTTGTAGAAAAATTTAAATAAACCCCCTCCAAAATTATCCAAAAAAAATTAAAATTTACTATGGTTCATCCCGTCTCGGACAATTCCACTTCTTTCCAGGAGGCGGTGGAGGAATCCAAGGACGCTCCACATATTTAGATCCAGTAAAGATGTAATTGCCACCATTGGAATCGCTGTAAAATTATAAAAAAAAATTAAAAAATTGTCCGCAAAAAATTTGCGGACAATTTTTGCGGACAAAAAAAATTTTGCGGACAAATTAAATATTTATTTTTTTTATCATTCTCCACCTATTTATCATTTATTTTACATAACTTTTAATATTATTACTAAAACATTCAGCTGATTAAAAACGTAATTTAGGTAAAAAATAGATTTTTTTTAAATCAGCAACTAAGTTTGTCCGCAAAAATATCAGCACATTTTCTTTTTTTTTGGCATTTTACCTCTCATTTTTATTGTTAGCCTTTACCATTTTTCATTTTAAATTGGAAAAAAAATTTTTTTTACTAATTAAAAAAAGTCCGCAAAATTTGTCCGCAAAAAATTTTCTTGCGGACAAAAAATTTTTCCCCTCATTCTTAAATTTAAAAATAAAATATATACCCTCCTCGTCGTTCACGATATGAAGAAGAACTTCCTCCACTTCCTCTATAATTTCCTACATTATTGTAATAACTTCTTCCTCCTCCACCTCTATAATTTCCACCCCAACCTCTTTCATATTTTGGAGGAGGATAAGGATTTCTTCTTGAAGGATACAAAGTTTGGGGTCCCAAATTGTTTTTAATATATGTTGAGGTTGATGAACGTCGATAATAATTAGAAGGATTATAACGATTTAAAGGTTGTGGTGAACGTGGTGAAGAACGTCGAGTACTTCCACTACTGCTATAATGGTGGTGGGAAGTTGGTGATGATCTGTATAGTTTTGAAAAAATAAAGAAATTTTTTTTTTAATTTTTAGTAGTTGGGGAGGGTATAAATTAATTGTTGTTTTCTTTGTGTGTGTTTGTGTGCATTTTTTAAATTAATTATTAATTAATTAATTAATTATTTTTGGTGTTTACACATTAATTTAATATTTTTTTATTATTATTTTTGGGTCGAAAGATTAATAAAAGGTTGTCTATTTTTGTAAGGAAGGTTTTTTGTTGTTATTTTTTAATTTCAACACAAATCTTCCCATTTGTCGTTTTTAAATTATATTTTTGTTTTTAGAATTCAATTTTTATTATTTTTTTTTCATTCATCGCGCCAGAAAATATGTGTGTGCTTGTAGTATTTAGAGTAGAGACTTTTTACCCTTTTAAAATTTTCCCCAAAATTTTTTTTTCTTGTTGATTTTGATTAGTTAATCAAAAATATAAAAGTAGTCATTATTTTCTGTAATTTTTGTGTGCTTAAATTTGTTGTTTTATTAAATTGATGCGCTCTAGAGAAACGCGAGATTTTATAAAATTATAAAAAAAATTTTTATAAAAAAATTTTTTCGAAGAAGTTAGTAATCATTTTTAGTGCAAAATTAAAAAATTGGACATTTCTGAGCCCAAATAATTTTTTAAAATTAAAAAAAAATTTAAAAATACCGTCCAGAAGCCCGTACAGTAAAAACTTCTTCAACAATTCCTCTAGCAACACGTCTCGGAGGAGCACCAGAACGATGATAAGTTGGTGTTGGTGAACGTGAAGAACGTCTTCCTCCACTTCCAGGAGAGCGTCTTCCACCACCAGAAGATGAGCTTCTATCAAAAGGTGCCGGTGAAGAGCGTCGCTGAACTAGAGGTAAACGCCCACCAGGCAACGGCTCAATTTTTTGGGCTAATGGAGGCGGGTTTGGAGTTTTCTTTGTTTTGTTGTCACGTGAATCGTCGGTTGGATAATATGAAGGATTTTTGAAGTAAGGTTGCGGGGGAAATCCAGGTTTTCCTCCCATACGTGGAACATAAGTGTAACCAAGATGGCGGGAACGAGCATCTCTGAAAAGGAAATTTTTTTAGAATTTTTGGAGAATAAAATTGAATTTTTGTTGAACTGTTAGATTATAGAAAACTGTAGATTGTGAGAAAACCCATTAGTCCCGACCAGAAGGAATTTTGAAAATCAGGTCTGAAACTCGACTATTTCTCAACAACTCCAACTCCATCCCTGATGGAAATTGAAGTGCAAAAAATGAATTGTAGAGCCCAAAAAAATAAAAAAAAAATTTTTGGACCCAACAAGAATATCAAGAAAAGAACCAGTAACGTCACGGGTTAAAAGAACCACGATACTCAAAACCCGAAAAATTTCTTAACCCGAAACCAACCCAAGACCTCTTCGAAAATCAGATTTCGAAACCCACCAAGAATGTCAAGAACATCACAAGTAATGTCACGAGTTAAAAGAACCCCGATACTCAAAACCCGAAAAATTTCTCAACCCGAACCCGACCCAAAACCTTTTCAAAACCATACTCGAAACCCTATCCGCTATTGTATTCCCTACCCGTGGCATCCCCGCAAAGAACTAAAAACGCATACCCGTACGGTTTTTTAGAACCAGAAAAACTATACCCAAACCCCAGTCAAAAAACTAACAGAAAAAATAAAAACCTTAAACGAACAAGTCGAGCTTTTCTATTCTGACGTAAACGTTCTTCTACAGACACATAATCATCATCCTTAAATTTAAAAAAAAATTTTTAAAGTCCAAAAAAAGTTTTTAAAACTACCCTATCACGTCTGCGTGTTTGTCGATACTTTTGTGGAGGAGATCTATCCCCATCAGAACTATTGCTGCTTCGACGTGAACGAGAACTTCGTGATCGTGAAGATCTCGAACGTGAACGTGAAGAAGTACTTGAAGACCTCCTTCGTCTCTTTCGATCGCGAGAATCGTTTAAATCGGACAAACTGTCATCATGACCGTCACTCTGAAATAGAGAAAAAAAAATTTTTTGAATTCGATGGTAGAGAGGACAAGCGGGTAGAAAAAAAAGAACGTCGAAAGATTTTAATTAAGAATTAGTCGCAGGGAATTGAAAGATGGGATGAACTAAAATTGCAGACATATTTTTGGAGATTATATTAATTATCTGGAGTTCTTTCCAGCCTCTGCCTCTGCTTCATTTGCGTTAAATATAAGTGGGTTCAGGGATTACCCAAACGTCTTGGACCCGACCCGTTGAGAATTTTGAAAACAGGTTTGACCCGCGACTATTTCCCAACCAACTCACTTCCTAATGGAAACTAAAGAGTAAAAGGATGAGTCACCCAAATGTGAACCTAAAAGCCAACCGATAAAAATCAATAAAACCTTCGTATCATCCATTTTATCCTCATCTTCCTCCTCATTTCCCGGCGGAGTTTTAGGTCCCATTTGCTTATTATTCTTCATCTTCTTTCCATTCTCGCTCGAATCCTCTTCCGCATCAGCCTGCAAAACCTCCTCCCTCGCATCCGGAGAGTGTGGCGCCGACATTGAACGGGGACTTGGAATTCTGTCGGCTTCTTCCAATTCGTCCCCCGCTTCCTTCAAAACAAAACATTCTTTAAAAAATTCTTTAAAAATAAACAAAAAACCTCAACAAAGTCTAAAACCAAATCCTCTCCTTCGTCAATATCTCCTCCTCCATTTTTTGGTGAGTTTGGTTCTCTTTTAACTTTATACGGCATTTTTGCTTTGAAAAAATTATATTAATTTTTGAGCTTGAAAAAAATTAGAAAAAAATATTTGAATGAATCAAAAACTCAAAAAATTAATTTTTGATGTGATATTTATAAATTAAAAATTTATTTTCAGATAATGATCAGATAAATATTAAAAAAACAAAAAAAACAAATTTAATCGAAAGAGAAAAGGGAAAGCAGAAAAAAGGAAATTAGAAAACCACACAAAAAAAATGAATAATTTAGGGGATCACCCCAGAGTATCGACACCCAAAGTATCGACACCCAGAGTATCGACACCCAAAGTATCGACACCCAGAGTATCGACACCCAAAGTATCGAATGACCCAAAGTATCGAATTTTTTAAATTTCATAATTAAGTATTCCAATGATCGGGCATGATGTTCTAACATCGGGGAATTGTGTTTTCGATCGAACTGAGCATAGCGACCGAACAAGATTCTACTTGGAGATCGATCACTCTTCTTTGATTGGACATATTGATCATGATCGATGTTTGATCCATTGTTGGAACAATTTCCCTATGTTAAAAAGACTTCCCCGTCCTTGGAATACTTAATTATGAAGTTTAAAAAATTCGATACTTTGGGTCATTCGATACTTTGGGTGTCGATACTCTGGGTGTCGATACTTTGGGTGTCGATACTCTGGGGTGGACTCTAATTTAGGTACTTATATATAGAAATTAAATACTTTTTTTAACAAAATTAAACAGAAAAACAAGACAAAAAATTCCCTGATTTAAAATAAATTTTTTGGTATACCATGTAAAATCTAAATAATATTCCCGCAAAAAATCAATCAAAATTGATAACAATCTGGCTTCGAATTGGTTGGAATTGACTTAAAATAAAATTTTTTTTATTTAATTTTAAAAGTTCCCATCAACTATTAGAAGATTAGTAAACTTTCTAATGGGGGAACGCATCAGCCTTTTTAATCAATCTCACTCCATCGGGGAGGTCATTTCTATAATGGAAAGTGCCCTAGAGTAGAATTCTAGAGTGGGGCAAATACACAAAATTCGGGGAAAAGGAAAAATTGATGAATGTGAAATTCAACACAGTTCACCAAAACTCTCTTTTGCTGAATTTCCCAAGTATTTACGCAAATGGGGAAAAGATCCACTGACATTTTCCCAAGCGTGTCAGACTAACTCAAGGAACGGACAAGACCATGGAACGACAAGTCAAGGAAGAGACAAATCAAGACTTGTCGTTCCTTGACTTGTCTGTTCCGTGACTTGGAATTTCTTAAGTTGCCCATCAGTCTTCCCAAGCCATAAAAACAAAAAAAAAGAAGGAAAAAGTCTGACCATTCTAAACAGAACTAGGGGAGAATTGGGGAGGAAAAAATAAAGCCTGTAAAGTTCAATTACCCCCTAAAAACAAAAAAAACCTGTAATTAACTTTTGTAGCATCAAACAACCGTTTAGAAGCCCTAGTTTCAATACAATCCTTATCCTTCAAATAAATAACAGTTTTGATTCCCGATTGGATAATTAACTTTGCACATTCGTTACAAGGAAAACGGGTTATATCTAAAGAAAATTAAGTTTAAAAAAATAATTTCCAAACATATTGTAGCATCCTTAAATTGAGCAGAATTTCCATTTGCAATTGCATTCATTTCGGCATGGCAAACATACAAATACCTTCAAAAATAAAATTTCTTAATTTAATGTTAGGCCCTAATGAAAGATTCAAGGGAGACTAACAATAAGTGAGCTCCAACCTATAAGGCTAGTTATAAAATCCAAAAGAAAGTAGGGAAAAGTGATCAGTTTAACTAAAAAGCTAGCTTGGTTTATTGGAGTTGTAATCTGCTTGTCGGTCAGCCTAACAGAGATAGGAAATCTTGACCAGATTCTTGTCCCTGAGTCAAGGAAGAATCATCAAGGAACTGTGGAAAATACTTTAAGATTGGCTCTGGACCCAGAAAGAATCAATGTATGGATCTCCAACCTAGTGAGCCCGATAAAGCAGTCGACCGACTTCCATAAATCCAACTTCTTTTCAGCGACCCTGGGAAACCCACACCCACAACCTACTTCCCCATTTTTAAATAGGACAGGCTCCCCTCCCTAGTTAACTAAAAATTTCCCCCAAAAATTTAAAAATAAACGTTTCTCCACTTTGTGTTAAACATGTCAGAGCTGTCCTTCCCCCACGGCATATCGTCATCATTGCATCCATTAGGCATTCCATTATAGCCAGTTCCAACAATTTTGTTCTCTTTAACTATACAAGCCCCAACTTGTGTACACGGGTCTTTACTTCGAAGAGATGCCAATATTGCTGAACCCATAAAAAATTCTTCCCAGTTGAGATAATCAGAACGTTTTTGGTTGTTGTTATCCAATAAACATTTTGTTTTTAAATCGGAATGAACACTGAAAAGAGAAATTTTAAAATTTGAATTTTCAGCTAAAGAAACCTTCCATTTTGAATTGAATGATTTCCTTCAAGTAATCCACTCATATATCCGTTGAAAGATAACCCGCTTCCTTCAAGAGGTTCTACCTTCTAAAATAAAAATTCTAAATTTAAGTAAAAACAAGAAAAAAAACTAGAAAAAAAAACTAGAAGAAAATCGATAAACAAAGCCAAATTGGAAAACTTTTGGCAAAACAAAAATATTTTCATTAGTTGACAAAATGAAATTACAGTTAAATTAATTTCAAAAAGAAAAACATTTTTGGCGGAATATTTAAAGTTTAAAAAATATTAATTCTGAGTTATACTCTCTCCGGTTTTAATTTAGTAGAGCTTGAAGTTAAACTTTTCCGGAAAGTTTATTACTATGTTTTTTAGAGTTATATTCTTTCCGGAAAGTTTTAATTCACTACAACTCTTTTCCGGAACCTTTTAATTAGTTATAACTTTTCCGGAAAGTTTACTATGTCGTTTGAGTTATATTTTGAGTTATACATATTCGTTCCGGAAAGTTTTTTTTCGCTATAACTTTTTCGGTTAAAGCGAAAAAATATATATTTTAAAATCAGAACAAACTTTATTAAACGGAAGCATTGAATTCTGATTATAATCAAAATTGTTATTAAAATTAATTCCAATGGGCGAAGATATTGGACAACTGTTAATACTTTCATTTTTGATACTCAATTCATTTCCTTTCACATTTTGTGAATAAATTAAATTATTATTTTGCCAATCACTAGAAGAACTACAAGGCTGGGGTGATTCTGTTTGCTTCTGTTGTTGATTGACTAATTCAGAAATAAATTTTAAAGTTTCTTCTGTTGCCCTTTTATCCAATTCTGTCATTAATTCGAGCTTAAAGAAGGAAGGATTTTAAATAAATTAATTTTAGAAATTTTCCGGAAGAGAATAGAAAAATATTCAGAGTTATATTCCTTCCGGAAAGTTTTAATTAATACATGTTGTTCCGGAACCTTTTAATTTGTTATAACTTTTCCGGAAAAGTTTTATTAATTTATTAGAACTTTCCGGAAAATTCGTTACTGTGTTTTTCCGGAAAGTTTTATTCAGAGTTATATTCCTTCCGGAAAGTTTGTTATATTTTCTCAGGAACTAATTAAATTGCCTCTTATTTTTAACAAAAATCCAGTCCCCACCTTAGGCATTTTCTCAACAGGTTCCTCACCAAACATTTCATTATTAACTTCCAAATGTCTTTTTTGTGTAATATTAAAATTATTATTACTATAATTATTTATTTGATTAAAATTATTTGTTTGTTTTACTTTTTTCCCTTCCCCCAAAGAATTTGCCGGACTGCTTGACAACATTAAACGTTTATCCAATCCATGCACTCTTTCAAGATGTTGCTAAAAATAATTTTAAAAATAAAAAAATTTGTTTAAAACCCAAAATGTAGATGTTGATTTATCTTTTCTATTTCTAATACACCCACATAATCGACATTTTCCACCTCCCTCAAATTCTTCAAAATAATCCCAGACAACTGAGGGCATTTGAATAAATCAGAATTTATTTTTATAATTTATATTTTATTTTATCTGAATATTCTGAAATATATTTTTTAGTTATATTCTGAGTTATATTCTTTCCGGAAAGTTTTATTAGGCTATGATTCAGTGGACTATTTAATAATACTTTTCCGTAACGTTTTAATTTGTTAGAACTTGAATTTAATTTTTCCGGAAAGTTTATTATTTCTTTTGAGTTATATTCTTTCCGGAAAGTTTTATTAGGCTATGATTCAGTGGACTATTTAATAATACTTTTCCGTAACGTTTTAATTTGTTAGAACTTAGATTTAATTTTCCCGAAAGTTTATTATTTCTTTTGAGTTATATTCTTTCCGGAAAGTTTTAATTGACTAAATATTACTGTCTTTTCCGGAAAGTTTTATTTTTTTTCAATTAAAAATTTTTATTTAAACGGCAAGGGAGTGATTGAGAAGGATAGAGGAGAAGACGGGAATGGATGTAAAGGATTAAATTGATTGACTAAGAGAGAAGAAAAAGGAAAAGCATAGGCAAATAAGGCAAATCGCTCCTCTTTCCCTCCTCCTCCCCTCCCTTCACAAATTATGGCCAATCCGCGCGCTCCAAAATTGTCAAGGAAAAGGGCCGAGGACATGAAGAGGGAAAAAAGTCGCGAGAAATTGATTGTAGATTTCGTAAATTAAATAAAAAATTTTTTGAGATGTGGAACCTCGGATTTATGTTATCCTAAATATCAACTTACCTCAAAAAGCATAGGATGTCTCCAATTAAATTTATCCAGTTAGACAGCTGTGTTTGTTTTTGATATACTCTACAAAGTCTTTTTCAATCGGCCACTCCTATTTTTATTTTTTGATGGCCAGCTAAATATATCTCTAGTGTTCTCTTAAGCTTTGGTCAACCAACACATGTTGTTACTCATCTTCAATTTTTTTATTATTCACCTAATCATTAGTAAAAAATACGAAGAATAGCAGCATTAAATAAACTATTTCCGGAAAGTTTTCTATTACATTAGTATATTTCCGGAAAATAATATTTCACATATTATTCTATTTCCGGAAAGTTTATATTTTTCCGGAAAGTATATTTTATTCAATATTATTTTTCCGGAAAGTTCTACTTTTTCCGGAAAATAATATTTCACATATTATTCTATTTCCGGAAAGTTTATATTCTCCCGGAAAGTATATTTTATTCAATATTCTTTTTCCGGAAAGTTCTACTTGCTTCCGGAAAATATTATTTTTTTTAATTATTCTAATACTTCCGGAAAGTCTTTATTATGTTTCCGGTATTAAACTCACTCTACTTTCTCCTTATAATATTCTTCCTGAAAATCAAAGCAGAAACATGCCCAATTAATTTTCAGGCAACCCAATTAAAAAATTATCTTCTCTTTAATTATGTAATTTAAGTTAAACAGTTCGTGTTCCTGTGTTTCGATGAAAATAAAAGGATTTGGCATTATCTGTTCTGAAGGACGACCATTCGAAAAGATTTTGGAGTTTTTACAACCTTTTATGGAAAGGCCTAATATTAAAATTGAATTTTTAAGAATTGAGAATACACAAATTCCCGAGGTTATAAACAAATACTATTTTCTTTCAAGAAATTAAACTATTTCCGGAAAGTTTGAAATATTATTTTATTCAGTTATAATTTAAATATTTTTCCGGAAAGATTTTTAATTATAAAATGGTTCCGGAAAAGTTTATTTCCGGAAAAAGTTTAATTTATTTCTTTACAATTAATTTTCTTTCCGGAACGGCTAACTAATTATTCTTCTTCCGGAAAAAGTTTAACTCAAAAAACCTTTATTTAGTTGTCAGTTGATACTCTAGCTTCTCTACCAATTCGCCACTTCATTCTTCGCAACAACTCACTCTCTCATTTTCAAGTTTTATCTTCAACTAGCACTGAACTCTCAATAACCTCAACACTTTTTGATAATGTAGAACAATTGGAAATACAAAATAATGAAATTGAAAATATTCGAGACTGTCCAGCTTTAACTTTGTTTACAAATTTGCAGTCACTTTCCCTCGCTGGGAATAAAATAACTGAAGTATTTGACAATACTTTTGCTTATTTTAATTCACGCAAGACGCTTCAACAGTTAAAAAAATAATTTTTTCTAAAGATTATAAATTTTTTTCAGACTCGATTTAAGCGAAAACCTTCTCTCCGACACTTCAATTAATTCCAAAGCTTTTGTTGGACTAGAATTTTTACAAAAACTTTTTCTAGACAAGAATCAATTAAACAAACTACCAACCAAAGCTATAGCTAAATTATCTGATTCTTTACAGGAATTGTTTGCAAGTGCAAATCAAATTGATAGTTTAGAACCTGGAGATATCCCGCCCCTTCCCATGCTTAAAAGTTTGGGGTTGGATGTTAATCAGGTATACATATACAAGGAATTAAATTTCCGGAAGGTTTCCCCATTACATTATTTCCGGAAAATAATATTCTATTAATCTATTCCCGGAAAGTTTATTTTTAAAGCTAAATTATTTCCGGAAAGTATAATTTATTTAATATTAATTTTCCGGAAGGTTCTCCCATATCACATTATTTCCGGAAATATTTTATTATCCTATTTCCGGAAAGCATATTTTTAGTTTTCTACTAAACTATTTCCGGAAAGTAGAATTAATTTATGTAATACTCGTTTTCCGGAAGGTTTCTATTTATTTCCGGAAAATATACTCTATTCTATATTCTTTTTTCGGATAGTTCTATTATTTCCGGAAAATAATACTGATAGTCAGGCCCTCTAAACTTTAAAATTAAAAAGTAATTTTATCTCCTTTTTCTTCAAAGATAAGTCAACTAAATTCGAATATATTTACTTCAATACCTTCACTCTGGTATTTATATTTAAGTCAAAACCAATTTACATTTATTCCTTCTTCAATTTTTGCTTCTATACCTGAATTAAAGGTGCTCTCAATGGGTGGTAATCCAATTGAAAGAATTGAAGATAATTGTAAATTTTTTTGAAAAATTTTTTTACTAATTTTTTAGGTCAGAAATATATATAAGGAATTTTATTTCCTGAAAGTTTTCTACTTTCCGGAAAATAATTATTTATTTATTATACTTCTTCCGGAAAGTATATTTTATACAATATTCCTTTTCCGGAAAATATAATAATAGATAATTATTTCCGAAACGATTATTATATTTCCGGAAAAAATATTTTATCTATTATTCTATTTTCCGGAAAGTAGTCATGTTTCCTTTAAGCAATTCTTTAATTAAATTACAAAAAAATTTTTATTTTTAAAATTTTAGCATTTTCTTTTGCAAATTCATTACTTCGCTTAGACCTGTCTCACTGCAAAATTAATTATTTAAATAATTGTTTCTCACCAATTTCACGTCTTCAATTTATTAATTTACGTGGAAATAAAATTAAATTTATTTCGAATGAATTATTTGGAGGAGAAAATTCAAAACTTGAATTTCTTGTTTCTATTGATTTGGGACAGAATCAGGTCCTTTCTTCTATTAAAAAATCTTTTAAAATTTTTTTAAAGATTGAAAAGGTCGATAAATTCGCTTTTGCCGGTTTACCCCAACTCCAATCTATCGATCTAAGCTATAATCAACTGGAAACATTTGATTCCAATACTTTTAGGGGAACATTTTTGCAGTCAGAAAATACTGCTAATGTGCAGATACTTGATTTAACTGGTAAAAAATTAAAAAAAATTTTTAGTTAAACAAGAAATTTTCCTCAGGAAATCCGATTAATTGCAGTCCAAACGAAACTGATTGGATATTTTCATTGAGGGGAAAAGTTCGAATTTTGGGAAGGTTTTTAATAAAGAAATTAAATAAAAACATAATTAAATTAAAGTTGTTCCGGAATGGGAGAACAACAAATAAATATGGAGGGTGTTGAATTAACAAAGATTGGTGTTGTTGGAGATGGAAAAAATATAAAGTAATTTATAGAGAGACAAAACTTGATTAGGAAAGAAAAATATAAACAAAATTTTCCGGAAAGAAATTATATAAGAAATAAAACACAAGTCAGAGTTAGAACTTTCCGGAAAAACATTCCGGAAAGAAAAATACAAACAAAATACAAAACACAAAACTTAATAAAAACACAAAAACAATAAACAATTTAAGGCAAACAAACAAAACAACATCAAAAACATCAACGACAACAACACTTTACGGAAGCAAAACTGAAAATGAAATAGTAGAAAAGAAAAATAAAAGAATTAATAATTTGAAAAATTTAAAATTTTTAACGCAAATAAAAAGGAAAAATGAAAGTAAAGAAATTAAAATAGAAGAAAATAAAGAAATACCTCAAAATAATGATAATTTTTTATTAAATAATGAAACAAATAATAACACAACTAAAAGTATTGAGGAAGAAATTAATGCTTTAATAGAAGAGGAAGAAGAAGGTGTTTTAAAAAAATCTAACAAAGAAGAGAATGGATGGTTTGTGTTAAAACTAGGCGAGTTTTAATAGAATAAATTCTTTCCGGAAAGTTTATATTAAATTCTATTTAAGATTTATCGAATAGAAAGTTTATTTTCCGGAAAGTTTATTATATTCCTTCAGGAAAACTCTTTATTATTTTCTTTCCGGAATGTTTATATTAAAATGTATTTAATATTATACTTTCCGGAATGTTAATTTACGATTATTATATTATTTCCGGAAATGTTAATTTAATATTATTATTTTCTTTCCGGAAAGTTTATATTAAAGTTTAATTTTTAGTTGTTGTCATTGCATTGATCGGTTTGGGTATTTTGGCTGTTTTTATAATGATCGCTAAAGGGATATTAATTTTTAATTGTAAATTACTCAGTGAATATTTTACAATACGGAAGAACAGAATAAAGAAAAATCGACAGAGAATGAAGGCAAGTCAAAAGAATTCCGGAAAAAAATTTTTAAATAAAAATTCCGGAAACGCTATAATTCCGGAAAAAGTAGTCAAACTATACTTTTTCCGGAAATTTTATTTATTCTCTCTTTTTCAGTTTAACCTTCCCCCTTGTAAGAATTCATTTACCCCCTCAAACATACAACAACAACCTTCTAGTCATTTTACTGACAACCAGAAGCAATTTAGCCATTTAAATTACTACTTCAATAGTGGATTAAAAAGAACTAATGTTTCGAATAGTATAGATTTAAATGATGAATTAAAGGAAGAAGAAATTAATTTGAAGAGAGTAAAAAGGGAATTATTTTTCTTTTAAAAAATAGTTAAATTTTTTAATTTTTCAAAAATTAATTTTTATACATTTTGTATATGTATAATAAAATAATAATTTGACTGAGAAATATGAATTGTTAAAAAAATATGAAAAAGGATAAAAGAAAAAATAGATTAAAAACACCTTGTTTGAACAATATAAACCTTTCCGGAAGGTTTATATTCGTTTATTTAATTTCCGGGATAATTTAATATAATTCTATTGCTTTCCAGAATGTTTATAACAAGCTTATACTTATTAATATTTAGTTGTTGCTTTCCGGAAAGAAGGTATAAATATTATTTGCATTGTACTATGTTAAGGTAGTTCAACCAAGGTTGGACTTTTTTTGAGTTAAAAAATAGAAAAAAATTTCTTGTGGCTAAAAATAAATTTAAAAATTTTGTCGTTTAAATTTTCCTTTTTTAATCTTGTTAATAAATCATTCTTTTTTATTTTTCAATTTCCCCCATTTTCCCTTGTTGAAGGCCATAATTCAACTTTTGTAAATACATTATTTAATTTATCCTCCTATAACGATAAATTTTTTCCCCTTTTTTTACCTTTCTTACTTTATTATTTTTAGTATTTTCACCTCCTCCAATTGCCCAACAATCTGTTGGTGCTATTATTTTTGAATTTCTAAAGCGTTTTTCAACCATTGCCTCAACAAAACCACAACCTATACCATCACCAATTACATTTACTGATGTACGGAATCTATCCCTTAAAAAATTTTTTTTGAATAATTAAAAAAATTTTCCTAAAATTTTTTTTTGAAAAATTTTCTGTGGACTTTCTAAGCTCTATTTTTTTAATTAAAATTAATTTTTTTATTTTTTAATTAAATTATGAAAACCCACAAAAGCCAATCAACAGCAATTATTAAAGTAACATCTGATGCAGGCAACCCAACCGCTGTTAAAACAATAAGCATTGTGACTAGGCCAGCTGAGGGAATTGTAGCTGCTCCTACAGAGGCCAAAGTTGCTGTTAAACTGAAAAGAAAAAATTTTTTTGATAAAAATTGATTAGAAAATCAGGAAAAATCAGAAAAAACCAACGCAATAGTCACAACAGTCCCCGCATCCATTTCCAACCCATTCATTTGTGCAATAAACACAGAAGCGACAGCCTCATATAAAGCTGTTCCATCCATATTAACCATTGCCCCAACAGGTAAAACAAATTTTGTATATTTTGGTGAAACTCCAATAATTTCTTCTAAACACTTGAAAGTTACTGGTCTGAGAGAAAAGAATTTTTTTTGAAATTTAAAACAAAAAATTTCTTACAAAGAAGCAGCAGACGAAGAAGTCCCTAAAGCAGTTAAACCAGCTTGAGTTAACCCTTGCATAAATTTGTACGGATTTCTTCTTGTTCCAATAAACAAAAGGGTTGGTAGTGTTATAAATAGATGTATAAGAAGTCCGGTTATGACTTAAAAATTTTTTTCTGAATTTTTTAAAATTTTCCCCTTTACCAGTCAACATATAAAGTCCCAACATTTTTGCAGTTTTAGCCAAATCTGTAATTTCCAAAATTTTTGCTGCAATGAGTGAAGATATTCCTATTGGTGAATACCTTTTTAAATTTAATTTAAAAAAATTTTTTTAATATTTTTAATCTAAACTTACCACATTACAATACTAACCAATGCAATAATTACTTTATCCAATGAAATGAATAAATCAGCTAGTGGCTTAAAAAATAAAAAAATTTTTATTTTTATTTTTTAAATTAAATTCTAAAAAATTTTTTTTAATTAAAAATTTCAAAAATTTTGAAAAAAATTTTTTTTCAAAATTTTTCAAAAAAATTTCAAAACAAAAAAATAAATTTTTCCACACCTTAGCTTCATCACCAAGTTGCCCCATAACCAAGCCAAGTGCAATAAAAAATACGATTAAGCCTAACAAAAATTAATTTTTCTTTAAATTAATTTAAAAAATTACCCAAAGAATTCATTCCATCAATATATTTATGTACAGAACTTGTTACAACTGTAAAAGTTCCAAGTTTGGGATTAGAAACATTTTTGTCAACATATTCTGTTTCAATTTGTTGAAAAGTTGCTCGTACAATATTATCAGGAAACATGTTTCTATGAAAATAAGTTTATTTTATTTTGTATTTTTAATGTGTTTTCCGGAAATCAAGTTTATTTATATTTCAAGTTTATTTTAAAGTTTATTTTCTCTGTCAAGTTTATTTAATTTAGTATGTATATTTGGCTATAAAGTCAAGTTTATTTTTTGTGTTTTCCGGAAATTCAAGTTTATTAATTATCAAGTTTATTTTCAATTTTCTCTGTCAAGTTTATTTTTTATGTTTTTGTGTTTTCCGGAAATTAAGTTAGTTTTTTCTCTGCCAAGTTTATTTTTTACCACACTCTCTCACCTCAAAACATCTGTCAATTTATCTAATGCAGAAATATCAGCAGTAGTGTTATCCAGTTTACTACCATGTTCTTTCTTAATTAAAGGATCACCAGGGTGTATTAATAAAACAAGACATATACCAGTCTTCGAATAAAATTTAATTTTATCAGAAAAATATTTTTATTTATTTACCACTACAGCCAAAATCATTGTAACAGAATAATAAATTAACGCAAATAAACCAATCCACCCAGACTGTTTAGCTTCAAGTTGACTTAATCCAGAAACTAAACTAGCTGCTATTAGCGGCAATATCATTGCTTTAAGAATATTCATAAATATTTCTCCTGGGAAACCAATTAAATCAATTTCCCTTTAAAAATAAAGTTTTATTTCTCTGCCAAGTTTATTTTATTTATTTTAAAAATTTTTGTATTTTCCGGTATCTCAAGTTTATTTATTTTGGTTTGTATTTTCCAGTGTTTTCCGGAAAGTTTCTATCAAATAATTTTATTTAATAGTCAATTATTTTTAATATGAATTTTCCGGAATTAATTTAACTATCAAGTTTATTTTTTTATCTATTCATTTTAATGTGTTTTTTGTATTTTCCGGAAAGTTTATTATTTTCTCTAAACCCACCTCTGTGTTAAATGTAAATGTCTCAATCCAAACCCAATACCAAAACCAGCAAAAACACTAAATATTGTAAACAACAAAAGTATATTTTCTCTAAACAATTCTTTTTTACGTCGACGTGTTTTTCGTTGTTGTTGTTGTGATGTTTTGGTTGGAGGTATTTTACAAAGTGATGTTTCATCGACAAATTCATCTCCTTTACCTCCACCCATTTAAATCCTAAATAAAATTAATTTTCTTTTAAATTTTAATTTTAAATTAAAATTAAAAAATCAATTTTTTAATTCTAAATTTTATCCAGAAAAATTGAAGAAGAAAAAAAGAAAATAAATAAATGGGGCCAGAAAAATATTTTAATAAAAAAAAGTCAGATGAGAGAGAAAAAAATTTTTTTGGGGGAGAAAGGTGGAGAGAAAGGAAAAATTGTTGAGTGTGTGGAATTTAATTATTATTTAAAATAGGGGAGTAGATTTTCGAAACAAAAAAAATTTAAACATCGAGAGAAGTCGTAGAACAACCAAAAATTTGTATATAAAAAAGGTAATAAAAAATATAAATTTTTAAAGAAATTTAATTTTTAGAGCAAAAATTAGAAATTTTTATTGTTTTTTGAATTGATAAGAAGATTGAACAAGTAAAATAAAGAAAAAAAAAGTAAGACAAAAAAAGAAAGTGTTTAAGAACGCTGACAGGATAGTCAAAAAATACCCAGAAAAATTATATACCTAAATTAAAATAGATGTGTTTTTAAGTAAGTTTCCGGAAAGTTTGTGTATCTTTAATAAGAAAAAAAAGACAAAAATACAAATAAACTTGGAATTAATAAACTTAAAAGTAGAACTTGAATTAAATTAACAAACTTGATTTATAAAAATAAACTTGAATAAAACAAAGTTTTAAAAACAAACTTGCTTGTAAAAAAGTTTTAAAAAATGTTTTAAAAAAGTTTGTTTTCAAGAGAAAGTTTGTACTAAAAGTTTGTTTGTTTAAAAACAAGTTTGTTGTTAAAATGGCCGCGCCGAAATAACCTTTTTGAGAAACAATAAATTGATGAAATAATAAAACTGGAAATATTTAATTTTTTGGGAGAAACGTGGAAAAGATAAAATATATATTATGTGTATGTGGACATTTTTACAAACAAAAAATAATAAAAAAATTAAACAAATGTTTATTTGCTTACTCGAGAATTGTGTGTGTGATGCGCTCACGTTTCTCCCCCTCTCTCCCTCACATCCTTAACTATCCCTCCCCCGTTCCCCTTACTTAATATTATTTTGTTGAATAAAAAAAAGATGAGTTTTAGTTGGAACATAAAACGAAAAAAATAAAATCTTTTTAAAAACAAAAGAAAATTAAAAAAAATATTTTAAAAAATATCCAAAAAAATCTACCCGAAATTTTGTAAAAAAAAATATAATGAAAAAATTTTCTTAGAAAATATCATGGTACAAGAGGATTAAATTTGTTGCAACCGGAAATATTAATAAAAAAATATGCAAATAACAAAAATAAAAAATTATTAGAAAAAAAACTCACTAATTTTTTATTACATTTGTGTAATGGAAAGTTGGAAAAATGTTGATAAAATTAAATTCTCATTGTTTTTGTTTTGTTGTAAAAACGTTGCAAATAAAAACATTTATTAAAGAGATTATTAACATGGTAGCAAAAGAAAATAAAATTAACCGGTTGTTTATTTTGTTGTTAAAATATGTTGGTCTCTAAAAGCACAATTGCGTAACTAGAAGAGAAAAACTTAATTATTTGTTTGTTTTAATAAATAAACTTAGAAAAACATCTAAAAATAAACTTGAAAACAAACTTGAAACAAATAAACTCGTATTAGAAAAGCAAACTTTAAATTCATAAATAAACTTGAATTAATTAAATAAACCTGATTTACATAAAAATAAACTTGAAATAGGTAAAATAAACCTGAAACTTGAAATTTAATAAATAAACTTGAATTTAATCAAGTTTTTAAACAAGTTTTTAGAAAAAGTTTTATATATACATTTACTACACTTATATTTATTTTATTTATTTATTTATTTACACCACTAGGGTGTGACAGTCAAAAATAAAACAATTTAAAGTGAAATTACGAAAAATAAAAATGCTAATAAAAAATGTCCTTAAAATAAAAATCAAAGCAGCTTAGCAAATAAAATTATCTCATTTGTCATTTAAGATATTGGAAATATCCAACTGTTCAAGAAGTTTAGAAAACATTTTGGGTGTATTTTTTTTAATTTCTATAGGAATTAGTGAATAAATTCTAGCAGTTCGAACAAAAAAGGAGTTGTACCGAATCATGGTTGAACAACGTGTTGGTTGTATTTTATATTTTTCGCCCCTAGTTTTTGTTTGTTTTATGATATAGGAATTATTATGGTTAATTTTAATTTTCCCAAATATATTTTGATGAAATAGCTTTAAATCAGCTTTAAGTCTTCGACTTTCAAGGGATTCTACTTTGAAATGTTGTAAAAGTGTTTTGTATGGTGGAATATCTTCTATTTTTACCTTTGTGATTCTTTTGTAAACAAATCTTAAATATCGTTTTTGTATGTTTTCTATTAATTTAATGTTTTTCTTAGTTAAAGAATTCCAAACCGGTGACCCAAATTCTATAATTGACCTTACGTATATATTAAATGCTTCTATAAGAATTTTAGGATCTTGTGATTTTAGAGATTTAATTAATGCATAGCAGTTTCTATTGGCCCTTAGAGATATTGTTTGAATATGTTTATTAAACTTGAATTTAGAAGTGAAGAAAATTCCGAGATCCCTATTCTTGTCTTCATTACTAATTTGGAATATTTTGTGGTTTCCTATTGAGTATTGTAATTTAGGGTTTGATTTACCTATATATAATACTGAGCATTTATTTAATGATATGTTGAGACCATTGGTGTTACAATATTGAATGAATTTATTAATAAATAATTGTAAAGAATTGTTAGATAAATCGGTTTTTTTTAGAATTTGATAGGCTTTGATGTCATCGGCAAATAATTTTATTTTTATTTCAGGAGTGTAACAGAATGTTGGTAAGTCCGATAAGTATATATTAAAAAGGAGCGGGCCTAAGATAGATCCTTGCGGAACTCCACTAGTAATAGAGAATTGTTCAGAATATTCATTTCCTATTTTAACAACAGATTTTCTGTTGTGTAAGTAATTAGAGATCCATTTTAAGAGTGATTTTTCAATTCCTATTACTTTTAGTTTTGTTAAAAGACGTTCATGGGGTATAGAATCAAAGGCTTTAGCTAGATCGAAATAAACTATGTTTATTAAATTTTTATTATCCAATGCAAATGATATATCATCTTGAACCTCAATTAGTTGGGTAGTGACGGATTTGTTTGGTCTGAATCCATGTTGACAATCTGGTAATATACCATTTTGTTCAACATAAATTGATATATGGTTTGCAATAATTTGTTCAATTACTTTTGTGATTGAACATAGTAATGAAATTGGGCGAAATTCTTCTATTTTGGGTATCTTTAATGTTTTTGGTATTGGTATTATTATACTTTGCTTCCATATTTCAGGAAGTGTTGAAGTCATTAATGAATAAGAAAAAATATAATATAAAGGATAATAAAGACTTTTAGCGCATTTTTTAAGGAATATACATGGTATTGAGTCATAAGAAGAGTTAGTTTTTTCAGGTAGCTTAGAAAGAAGATCAAAGATTTGAAGTTCATTTATGATTACGGATTGACATGTATTTTGATTTGTTATAGAGTTTAGATCTGCATTGTCTAATGAATTTTTATTAAATACAGAACTAAATTGGGTACTTAGAATTTGTGCTATTTTATTATCAGCGTATACTAATTGATTATTTTTATCCAAAATTGAAGTTATTTTCCTGTTTTTGGATTTAAGAAATGAAGAGATGTATGAGAATTTTCGACTGATAGTTTGTGTTTTATGCTTTTCTCTATTTTTTAAAAATTTGTTAGTTTCAGAATCTATTCTTTTTGATACATATGAGATTTTACGTGTTAGCTCTGGCGTGGATTTTTGTTTCCACAGATTTTTTAGATATAATGTCATTTTTTCAATGTGTTCGGGTTTTTTGAGATTGTTAGATTTTACTTTAGATTCGGGAACAAAGGAACAAATAACATTATGTATAATCGATTGGAAAGTGAAATATAGTTGATTTATATCAGAGCATTGTGTGAATACTAGATTCCAGTTTATTGTTGAGAAATGTGCATTAATTATTTCATAGTTAGCTTTACGAAAATTTGGATATGTATAATTATTATCTTGGTAATTGTTAGTAGAAGATATTTCAAATTCTATTGTATTATGGTCAGATTTACTTATAGGCGGATTGATTGTTATAGCCTTTATTAATTCATCCTCATTAGTTAATAGTAAGTCTAATATATTTACTCCTCTAGTGGGTTTATCAATTTTTTGTTTTAGTCCTAAACTTTGAATATATTCTAAAAATAATGTTTCTTTGGTATTTTTGGTTTGAGTACTATAATTTTCCCAATCGATATTGGGTAGGTTAAAGTCTCCTAATAAGATAAGTGGGTAGGATACAGCCGATATATCATACAAGATTTGCAAGATAGATTTAAAATCCTTAATGGTTTCTTTAGTGATTGATCTATAAATCAAAATAATACGAATTTTTTCATCTGGGTCTATACAAGATAAATCTATACAAGATATCTCTGATAAAGTTTGGGGGATTTCTATTTTAATAAATGGTATTTTATTTGATATAAATAAGCAAGTTCCTCCACCCCTACCATTGGCCCTATCAGTTCTGATAATATTATATGGGGTACCATGTAGTAAAAGATTATCATCAACTATATCAGTCAACCATGATTCAGTAACCCCTATTAACTTATAACGGTTTTCTAATAACAGAAAGTGTAAATTTGACAATTTGTTTTTTAAACTTCTTGAATTAAAATATAAAAAATTAATAGTATTTAATCTATTTAGATTATTTTTTTGAAGTCAGATTTTTTTATTTTTTCTAAAAATGTGAACCTCCGATCTTAGAATTACTGCTTCTCCATAAACTATCCAGTCCAATTGAGGGTTCTCCATTCTCTTCTTTTTGCACTCTTCAATTAGTTCCCTTCGTCGCTGTAATTGTTCTGGTGTCATTGAAGCACGCATATTGACTTGGGGGAAAGATTTCTTGCCATTTGTTTTCCATTTGTTGAGAAGTTCACGCTGAAATTTTCTGGATGGTAAAACAATCTTTAAAAGACGGGCATGACCATTATTGGGTGGGTTAGACTGACGTCCCATACGGTAAAAAAACCTGGGTGCGCACTCAACCCCCACCGAGTCGAGTAAACTTGTTATTGTTTTGGAGTCATCCGCCATTTTCTCTGATGGAAGTTTTTTTGTAGATTCCGTCAAACCAGTCACAACAACACTTCTTTCGCGCTCTAGCTCCTCTGCTGAAATAGTGTTTAATTTTGTTGTTCCTGAAAAATATCCATAAGGTTTTTCTTGTTGTTTTTCTTTAAGTGAATCGATTGATTTACTAAGAAGGTTAAATTGTTCAGTCAGAGTTTTAATAAAGTTTAATAAAATCGGAGTTTGCTCTGTTGTCATAGACGGAATAAAAGTATTGATTGTTGTTAGTGTTGTTTTCACCAAACTGACTTGACAATCAATAAGAAAATTAAGAGAATTTGGATTTTCGTTGTTGTTGCTATTATTGGAGAGAGGCGAAAAATTGGCCTCTGTTGCTGTCCGTTTTGCAGAAATTTTATTTGTAGACATTTTTCCATCAATTTCCATTTTTTTTTAATCTCTTAAACTTGGGTTAGTTTTTGGGTTAGTTAGTTTTTTCTCTGCCAAGTTTATTTTTTACCACACTCTCTCACCTCAAAACATCTGTCAATTTATCTAATGCAGAAATATCAGCAGTAGTGTTATCCAGTTTACTACCATGTTCTTTCTTAATTAAAGGATCACCAGGGTGTATTAATAAAACAAGACATATACCAGTCTTCGAATAAAATTTAATTTTATCAGAAAAATATTTTTATTTATTTACCACTACAGCCAAAATCATTGTAACAGAATAATAAATTAACGCAAATAAACCAATCCACCCAGACTGTTTAGCTTCAAGTTGACTTAATCCAGAAACTAAACTAGCTGCTATTAGCGGCAATATCATTGCTTTAAGAATATTCATAAATATTTCTCCTGGGAAACCAATTAAATCAATTTCCCTTTAAAAATAAAGTTTTATTTCTCTGCCAAGTTTATTTTATTTATTTTAAAAATTTTTGTATTTTCCGGTATCTCAAGTTTATTTATTTTGGTTTGTATTTTCCAGTGTTTTCCGGAAAGTTTCTATCAAATAATTTTATTTAATAGTCAATTATTTTTAATATGAATTTTCCGGAATTAATTTAACTATCAAGTTTATTTTTTTATCTATTCATTTTAATGTGTTTTTTGTATTTTCCGGAAAGTTTATTATTTTCTCTAAACCCACCTCTGTGTTAAATGTAAATGTCTCAATCCAAACCCAATACCAAAACCAGCAAAAACACTAAATATTGTAAACAACAAAAGTATATTTTCTCTAAACAATTCTTTTTTACGTCGACGTGTTTTTCGTTGTTGTTGTTGTGATGTTTTGGTTGGAGGTATTTTACAAAGTGATGTTTCATCGACAAATTCATCTCCTTTACCTCCACCCATTTAAATCCTAAATAAAATTAATTTTCTTTTAAATTTTAATTTTAAATTAAAATTAAAAAATCAATTTTTTAATTCTAAATTTTATCCAGAAAAATTGAAGAAGAAAAAAAGAAAATAAATAAATGGGGCCAGAAAAATATTTTAATAAAAAAAAGTCAGATGAGAGAGAAAAAAATTTTTTTGGGGGAGAAAGGTGGAGAGAAAGGAAAAATTGTTGAGTGTGTGGAATTTAATTATTATTTAAAATAGGGGAGTAGATTTTCGAAACAAAAAAAATTTAAACATCGAGAGAAGTCGTAGAACAACCAAAAATTTGTATATAAAAAAGGTAATAAAAAATATAAATTTTTAAAGAAATTTAATTTTTAGAGCAAAAATTAGAAATTTTTATTGTTTTTTGAATTGATAAGAAGATTGAACAAGTAAAATAAAGAAAAAAAAAGTAAGACAAAAAAAGAAAGTGTTTAAGAACGCTGACAGGATAGTCAAAAAATACCCAGAAAAATTATATACCTAAATTAAAATAGATGTGTTTTTAAGTAAGTTTCCGGAAAGTTTGTGTATCTTTAATAAGAAAAAAAAGACAAAAATACAAATAAACTTGGAATTAATAAACTTAAAAGTAGAACTTGAATTAAATTAACAAACTTGATTTATAAAAATAAACTTGAATAAAACAAAGTTTTAAAAACAAACTTGCTTGTAAAAAAGTTTTAAAAAATGTTTTAAAAAAGTTTGTTTTCAAGAGAAAGTTTGTACTAAAAGTTTGTTTGTTTAAAAACAAGTTTGTTGTTAAAATGGCCGCGCCGAAATAACCTTTTTGAGAAACAATAAATTGATGAAATAATAAAACTGGAAATATTTAATTTTTTGGGAGAAACGTGGAAAAGATAAAATATATATTATGTGTATGTGGACATTTTTACAAACAAAAAATAATAAAAAAATTAAACAAATGTTTATTTGCTTACTCGAGAATTGTGTGTGTGATGCGCTCACGTTTCTCCCCCTCTCTCCCTCACATCCTTAACTATCCCTCCCCCGTTCCCCTTACTTAATATTATTTTGTTGAATAAAAAAAAGATGAGTTTTAGTTGGAACATAAAACGAAAAAAATAAAATCTTTTTAAAAACAAAAGAAAATTAAAAAAAATATTTTAAAAAATATCCAAAAAAATCTACCCGAAATTTTGTAAAAAAAAATATAATGAAAAAATTTTCTTAGAAAATATCATGGTACAAGAGGATTAAATTTGTTGCAACCGGAAATATTAATAAAAAAATATGCAAATAACAAAAATAAAAAATTATTAGAAAAAAAACTCACTAATTTTTTATTACATTTGTGTAATGGAAAGTTGGAAAAATGTTGATAAAATTAAATTCTCATTGTTTTTGTTTTGTTGTAAAAACGTTGCAAATAAAAACATTTATTAAAGAGATTATTAACATGGTAGCAAAAGAAAATAAAATTAACCGGTTGTTTATTTTGTTGTTAAAATATGTTGGTCTCTAAAAGCACAATTGCGTAACTAGAAGAGAAAAACTTAATTATTTGTTTGTTTTAATAAATAAACTTAGAAAAACATCTAAAAATAAACTTGAAAACAAACTTGAAACAAATAAACTCGTATTAGAAAAGCAAACTTTAAATTCATAAATAAACTTGAATTAATTAAATAAACCTGATTTACATAAAAATAAACTTGAAATAGGTAAAATAAACCTGAAACTTGAAATTTAATAAATAAACTTGAATTTAATCAAGTTTTTAAACAAGTTTTTAGAAAAAGTTTTATATATACATTTACTACACTTATATAAAATAGTATTTACAATTGTGGGTAAAATAACTTTGTTAATATACAAAAATAGGCAATATAGCTTTAAGTTGGGGTTTTTTTCTCTAAAAATATAGAGTATATGAGGTACACTGCTCCACATAATTATAAGTCCACCCATTTTTTCGGGATTTTTTGACTCCCAGTGATCCAAATTTTTTGAAAATTTAGAAACACACCTTTTAGTGAATAACTAACAAGGTGTGATTCGATTTTTGGCTGAATTTTTATTTAAAAAATTTTTAGACCAATATATGTGTTTTCGGCCTCCACAAAATTATAAGTCCACTTTTCAAAAAAGATATTTCCAAGTTTAGGAAAAATCTACAAAAATTCTAGCAACAATATATAATGATATTATGAAAAAATAAAAAAGAACTAGACCTATAACTCTACCCGGAGCCGAGATCCTGAGACCTCAAAAACAACGTAAAATGGGGGTAAGGCTCTTTAAAAAAATTTTTCGACCCCTTATCGATTATTTTCAATTTTGATTTTGGGCTCATTCGACAGCCCTTGAAATTTGCTACAAGATAGCACTTGTCTTATTTTTCAGAAAAATTCCTTAGAGAGACACAAGACGATAAACTTTCTAGGTGTCATTAGAGGGCATTTTATGGGGCATTTAGACGATTTTTGCTGCATCAGAAGATTAACGGCTCGTATCTTTCTAATCGAATTTTCTATAAAATATTATTAATGCTATCTTGTAGCAAATTTCAAGGGCTGTCGAATGAGCCCAAAATCAAAATTGAAAATAATCGATAAGGGGTCGAAAATTTTTTTTGAAGAGCCTTACCCCCATTTTACGTTGTTTTTGAGGTCTCAGGATCTCGGCTCCGGGTAGAGTTATAGGTCTAGTTCTTTTTTATTTTTTCATAATATCATTATATATTGTTGCTAGAATTTTTGTAGATTTTTCCTAAACTTGGAAATATCTTTTTTGAAAAGTGGACTTATAATTTTGTGGAGGCCGAAAACACATATATTGGTCTAAAAATTTTTTAAATAAAAATTCAGCCAAAAATCGAATCACACCTTGTTAGTTATTCACTAAAAGGTGTGTTTCTAAATTTTCAAAAAATTTGGATCACTGGGAGTCAAAAAATCCCGAAAAAATGGGTGGACTTATAATTATGTGGAGCAGTGTATATATTAAATACATAAATTTACATATCTATTTTTTCTCTCCACAAAATTCTCCCTTTCAAGGCCCTAATAAAGGGTCAAAAAGCACAACACTAGCAATGTGCCCATTATCCAAAACTTCAAAAATCATTTGATCAGTTCCATAACAAAATGACGATCCAAAAGGATTTTCCCCTTCAGACGAACTTTTGTTTAGTACTACAGGACCACTGAATGAATCATTATTGCCTGATGTAATATTTGAATTGGTTTGGTGATCAAAAAGTGAACGGAAAGATTCAAGCTTAAGAAAGAATTTTTTTTTAATTTTTTTTAGAATTTTTTTTGAAAATTAAAAAAATTTTCCCACTTTCGATTCTGTCCCAATATTTAATTCTTCCATCGATTTTGTTTCAGCTTTTAATAAAAATTCACATCTATCATAAATACCAAAATCAAAATGGCCTGGGACGTTTGTATGTAAAACAAATTTGACTAATCGGCGAGTTTCAATGTCAAAAAGTAAATCCTTTAAAAAAATAAAAAAACAAATTGAGAGATTTGAGTAGAAATTTAAATAATATATCCAACACCCTCCCCCCCCCTCAAGACTTTATCCCGTCACCCCCCTACAGCCTCTCTCTCTCTCCCATCTCGGTGAAAGGTTAGGGTTTATTTGTTGCCCATCTGTCTCTCTTCCCTTCTTCTTCCATTTTTTCTCCATTTTCATCCTCATTCCTAATTTTAAAACTAAAGCAAAAAAAAAAAGAATAAGCCCTTCCCCATAATTAAACATGCAAATTTAAACGTGAATTAAAAGAATAGAAAGAAAAAAATAACAAGCTAACTAATAAACAAAAAAAAGAAGAAAAAGCCTTCCTCATTTACAGAAAAGCTTTATTTAAATTTATGTAAATTCCCTCCTGCACTTTCTATCTGCGGGAGTGTGTTTTGTATTGTGTTTGGTAGCCTTCAGTTTCTTTTAAACAAGGCGCTTTATGGCCATCAAAAAAAGAAGAGAAAGAAGAAAGATGATGGACAGCCGCTTGTCATAACGATCCTCCCTTTCAAGTACAAATAAATATATACAAGGTCTAGAAAAAGAAGGAAAGGAAGGAAAAGCGGCGCGCGCAAGTCTTGAAAAGTCTGTTTCTTTTGGCCATAAGAAAATTGGCCATAAGAGAGAATAGAAAAAAATTGAAAATTAAAATGCCACACAGACAAAAGAAATGATCAAAATGAAAGGCACAACCAACACCCGCTGGGTGACAATTTTTAAAAAATATATAAACCCAACAATTAGAGGCACACTTTTAATGACAATTGGTGAAAAAATAAAGGAAAAAATTGGGGGAGGAGTACATACTGCTATTAGTAGCTATTTTATATTTTTATTTTTAAAAATGAGTTTTTACCTATTATTAGTAGTAAACTCAAAAATAAATTTTTTTAAGCCAAAAATATTTAAAAAAAATCCAAAGATTAATTCATTTTTAAATTTTCTTTCCAATTTTTAATAATTTGATACCCCCCCCCTCTAACACACTACTTCCATCTCCCTTAATATTCCCTCTCTCCCTTCACTTTTTACAAAAAAATTAATTTATTCAAAATATTTTCGGCATCATTTGATCTCCCCCAATTTTTCATATTAATAAGCGCTTGTCATTTTCTCCTCAAAACCTCCTCTCCATTTCACTCACTCCTTCATCTCCTCTCTCCCTTCAAACAACAACAATCAGCCTTCCTTCAATCAATCTCCACAAAAAACCCCTCTCCTTAATTTGACTTTTCTTAAATATATTTTTTTAATCTTTTAAAAAATTCGGCGCGCATTTTTATGCAATTTTTAATGTTGAGCGAGGTAAAATTGAAAAAAAATTGAAAAAAAAGAAAAAAAGAAAAGAATAACCGTTCAACAACCTCGATATTTGGTCATCTACCTCCTCCCTTCTTCCCCATTTAATTTTTAATTTTCCGTTTTTTTACTCATTCAATTTTTTTAATCTATTTTTTTTCTTTTTTAATTTTTTCCTCAATTTCGCCATTCTTCCATTCATTCAAACCCAATTTAGCAGCAAAATACAAAAAAGAGAGAAAAACGGACAGAAAGATTTTTTAAAGTGAATGAAGGATGGCCTTGGGTATGGATTCTCTTCATTTACAAACAGTCTTTCAGTCTTCCTTCATTTTCATCATTGAGACAAAAATGCCTTCGCGTTTTGTTAATGTCCCTCCATGATTATAAAAAAAATATAAACCCAAATTTTAGTCCATATCAGGGGTGTCCACAAGGAAAAAATTATGCGCAACCGCAATCCGCAATTTTTATTTTAAAATCCGTGCCGCAATCAGCAGGTCCAAAAAACTACGCAATTTACAAAATCCCAAATCCGCAATTGCGAACACACTCCTGGTCCATATACAATTCTTCCAAGCTTGAATATCAAATAAAAACCCAAATAAAAAACCCCAAAAAACCCTAAGAAAAACATTCATTATTCAAACTACTTTTGTTCCTGCAACACCACCTAACTATTCCCAAAGGGAGTTTGTCATTTTTTCTTAAAAAGTTTCTTTTAACTCAAAACTTTTACTTAAATAAATATTCCCACAAGCTATGCATATTTCAGCTAGAATTCACCTAAAACATATACTTTTTCTAAAAGTGCCATCAATTTTCCCACACCAAAAATAGGGTAAAACATCCATAATTCTCTCTCAGCATGAAAAATCTCTTTCAAAAATCTTTCAATCCTTTTTAGGTACAAAAATTGAAAATAACGAGAAAAATATATATAAAAGGGTCCTTTTAAGGATATATAGGTAAATGCGCACCCCCCCTTAAAAGGTCCCCCCTCCTCACCAAAATTTTGAGGAAAAAAAGCAAAGCGACAGAAGATAAAATAATAGTCTCTCGGGGTTGTTTGGACAACGAAACGGTGAACACCTGGCCCCACAATATGCTCATTAAATATATACATTTTGCTTGCTATTTGCCATATATTTTTAGAGTATATTAAACATCGGTTATATCTAACTAGTCTCCATTCTTTGTTTTTCATTTTAATGTAAAGCCCCCTCCTCACCCGTTCTTTCTCTCCCTCTCTTAGACTTTTTTCAATTTTATCAAATTTTCAAGGCTAGAGGTTCGGATAGATACGAGAAATCTTGTTTAAGAATTTGTTCTCTGGAGCAGCTCCAAGCCTCAAGTCAATCCTCAATCTTAGGGATGTTGGTATTGGACTGGACCAAACCGAAGAAACGATGATTTTTCAGTTCAGTTCTTCGGCTCGGTTTAAGATATCCGAAGTATTTCCAGGAACCCCCAGCCCTACCTCAATCCCTAACTACATCCGTAAGCACAGGATTTCTCGATAAAAGATTTTCTCGACTGACTTTAAGTCGCCGATTTCTCTCTACATGTAACGATGAAAAATTTAATATTAAAAATCGTCAAAAATCGCCAAAAACCATAAAAAAGTTTCTACCAAAAACAACCCGATTAAAACTTTTTCTTCTTTATTGTTCTCCTTTACCAATCCAATTTTTCTTCTACCTTACATCTATTCATTCAAGAAAAAAAGCAATTTATGCCTTAATACAAAAAAAGTCTTCCTTCCCTTCCTTCCCTCCCTCCCCAAACATTAAAATCCGCAAAGGATTACCTCGTTATCCCCCAAAGCCATTCGACGCTCGTTTAGGTGTTGTTGGGGAAGGATTTGACCTGGTACACATCCAAGTACATTTTTTTTCCAATTTTCTGTCGTCCTCTTTTGCGCCCAATTAATTATTTGACGCTTCAAAGGGAGGGGATGAAACAAAAATGGGAAGAAAAAAGAGATGAAAGAAAAATTTAGAAGAAAATATTCTTCCAAAAATCGTTCTCCCCCTCCAAGTATTCCCCTCCCGCCTCCCATATGGAACAATTTTTAACTAAAAATATATACAAAATTCTACCAACTAACTAACTCTCTTGACCCCTCTTCTATTGTTAAGCAGATTTTTTGTCCAAAAAAGGAGAAATTTATTTTTCTTCATGTAGTAGATTTCCGGTCAATTGAAGCTAATTTTATATGGCCTCTTTTTTTCCTTCCCATTTTTATTTGTTTCAATTTTTCTTCTTCCCCTTCCCCTCTTCCTTTTTTAAATATCCTCTCTCTTATCTCAAGAGAGCTATATATTTTTTCCTTCAAAAATACTTAAAATTTTTATATCAAAAAGCTCTCTTAATTTATAAGAATATTTTTTCCTCTTTTTAAATCATCCAAATGGACACACATAATTTAAAAAGATGGTCGGGAAAACCGAGAAAAACAAGAAAATAACCGCGAACACGTGCCCTTTCCTCCCTCCTATCTCCTGTCCACTACTTCTTTATCCCCTCTAGGGAAGAACACTAAAAACCACCCCAACAGTTTTCTTTCGTTTTAAAAAGCGGTCAGTCTCTAGTTCAGTTTATAGTAGCAAAAAGTCCCTTATATCGGCTAATCCCCCTTAGTATTACTCCCTCCCCTCCCCCATCTCCTATTTTTCCCCTTTTCGCGCAGTTGAACAACAAAGCCTTCTTTCAAATAATTGGCAGTAAAAGCAGCAAAACATATATACATACAAATACAAAAATATATTAAAGTTAATAGGTTATTCTCTGTTATAAACCTAAATACTACATATTAGAGATGTGCGAGACCGAAATTTTTCCAAGACTCAAGACTCAAGACCCAAGACAAAAATTTTTCCAAGATCAAGACTCAAGACCAAGACCAAAACTCCAAGACTCAAGACCAAAAATAATACAAAACTCGAGACAATTTTTAGGTGCCATAGGTCAAATTTTTGGTTTATTTTTTGTTATTTTGACACGATCACAGTCAACTTCAGCACAATCACCTATAATTTCGAAAAATCTATGCGAAATTCAAAGAATTTATCCGAAATTCAAAGAATTTTGGTGAATTTATCCGGGTGGAAAATCAATGAGATATATTATTTAAGAGGATTTGGGTGGATTATTTAGTTAAGGGGGATATTAGCAGGCGAAAATTTCGAAAATGTTGGAAGGCTAAGAAGCCAGAATTCTTCCTTTTCTAGCGCCGTAGGCGAAAATTTTGGGAATTATTAAGGCCAAGAAGCCAAAAATCTTCCTTTCCCTGCGCCGCAGGCGAAAATTTTATGAATTTTAGAAGGCGGTAGGCCAAAAAAATTCACTTTTTCAGCGCCGCAGGCGAAAATTTTGAGGATTTTGGAAGGCCAATCAGTAGATCCAAAGAGGCCAAAAAATCAAGACCAAAAAATAAAACCAAGACAAGACCAAGACAAACACCCCAAGACCAAGACCAAGACCAAGACCGAAAAAAAACCAAGAAAAGTCTTGGTTCCAAGACCAAGACCAAGAGTCTCGCACATCTCTACTACATATTATTATTTACGACATACAACCTATAATTGGTCATAAAAGTATTTTTTAAGCCGAGAAAATTTTTTTTTTCATACCTGCTTAATCATTATTTTCGTGCTTATAATTTTCCC